GTTGCAAGATGTAGTGGGTGAAGAGTTTCTGAGATTGAACGAAGGTAATGAGTCGTGAACTAGATCTTTTCAGAACCACCTGCAAGGTTCTGAGAATACCCAACTGACGAGCTAAAGGGGCAAGTGAGTTTTGATTGTGGTTCTTGGGACGGTCCCTTGAAAACCAGTCTAGTAACGATGTGGGAACTCATGAAGCCTTCTTGGTGTCCTCATCCTAACGCTGCTTTAATCTGGGACATGACGGCGGATATCACGTTAGACCTAGATGATGACGCGAGTTTACATGATCTGGCCATGATACACCATCTGCTGGCCATGAGGTTGATGAAGCGGAAGAGCAACCCATCCACGGAGCTGTCCGAGGAAGGTCCATCGAGCAATTTGTTGAAGCAAGGCACATGCTTGGCTCAACATAGTGGGATGGAAGGACATGTTTGTAACTTGATGCACTGCCTGATTACGCTGAGCGAGCAGCATCGACAACTGGCACGATTGTACGGAAGATTGAGCATGTCGGATAAGAGTGGTATGGAGTTGGTCGCGGATTGTCATGGGGTGACGGATGTAAACTTGACCACAGCCTTGGGATTTTGTAGCATGACGAGTTCGATAGAATCGCTTGAGCGCCTGGAGCGTGCCCATGAGCTAGTGACGTCCCTCAGCGTGGAAGTATTCCCTGGAGCATTGCAGACAGAGCAGAAGATCGGAGGCTGGCGAGAAGCTCTGGAGAACGAAATGAATCTGAAAGATAGTGAAGCATATCATAAACCTACTGGTTCGAAATATCTAGTGGGTTCAAGCTCCGCACCATATTGCAGTAGTAGGTATCCTACACACATGGTGGTGATGGATGCGAGGACACAGCAGGTGTTGATTGACCAACTTTTCTCTGTGCCAAAGTGCGTGAGGTTGGCCAGAATGTCGGAGAGGTCATATGATTTGTTGGCAATGATCTTTCGGGCAGTCCCGAAGAGATCTGAAGGCGAGTTGCAAGATGTAGTGGGTGAAGAGTTTCTGAGATTGAACGAAGGTAATGTGAGTGAGTTCCAGAAGCAGAAAGCGAGTGGAGCGTTACCCACTGAATTCCCCACCATAGAAGAGAAAGACGACTTACACAGAATTCTGATGGAGGTGGAACCGTTGCTGGGAGCCTCAGGGTATCGGACCCGAAGAAACATAGTGAGAACCCATGGGGAGTATCCTTGCCACTGCTTGGCGCAGACGTTGTGGTACCCCAAACGCGGGAATCTGATGCTAGTATGGGACGTGGAGGAGTTGTACTCTACGGGGTTGCCCGATCAGAATCAACAGGTGTCAATCGTGGTGGTTAGTGCCATGCTGGCAGTGAGATGGTTGGAGGCTACGTGAAGATGAGTCGTGAACTAGATCTTTTCAGAACCACCTGCAAGGTTCTGAGAATACCCAAAGCCATTGAAAGAATATGGTCAAGGCAAAGATTGATGCCTTGGTTCCGTGCAGTGATGACATCATGGATGTATGAACGCGCGAAGCGTCAAATGTCGAGGAACACGGAAGCCTATCAATCTTTCCAGCTAGATATAGGACCGGGAGCCTATAAGAGAGCATTCCTGACGCACAGAAACGCGGTCACCACGGCGGTGAAGCGAGTAGCTGGAGCGCCTTGTGTAACTGAAGATGAAAAGAAAGAGGTCTTAAGAGCTGACCTAGAGAAAAATGTGAGCCTATGTCTTCACAACAGCTTTTGCAGGAACCGGGAGCAGAAAGTGAATGTGGACTTGCTACCTTGTTGCAAACCGAGGCTGTTGGAACAGGAGGGTTGGGGCACGGCCCGCAACTCTCTGGACATGTTAGAGAAAGTTCTGGAAGACAGTGACGCTGAACATCAGGATGGAGAAATGATGGAGTGAAGATGACCAAAGAAAAGAAGAGAAGGAGAGAAAAACTTGATTGTATTGGTGTGCTAAAACTTGAACAAATCAACCAAGTTTTGATTATTGAACTTGTTAAACTTTTTGTTTTGATTTAGTTTGGTCAAACCAAACTTTGAAAATTGTTACAATTGTTAAAATTGTTGAAAGAGAATTTTAGTTGTACTACTTATGTATATATATAGAACATAGGTGAGTATATTTACCTATTTAAACACGACTGAAGTTTTTAACCTGTGTAAGACACTATTTCACTGTGTGGCGACATGGTAAACTTGAGTAAACTCGCTCGAGATGGGTGGGTAACTCAATAACTTTCCTAGCCACAGAGTTTCTTAGTTTTAATATTGAAAGGACCGCATAAATAACTGATTATACTTGGTGAGTGATGTTAAGTTATTTTTAACGGGTGCCTGGCCGTGCCACGTCCCAACTTTTTAATCACAAAGAGCGAAAAGAAGTTTTATGGCAAGACGACAAAGTAGTCAGAAAATTTTTTTTATCTAGGACGCTCCTCATGGTGCAAATTTTGTGAAAATGTTGAAAGGCAGTGAAATGTAGTACGATGCCATTTGTGAACACGTAGTGAGTTGAGGTGGAGTAGATAAATTTCATTTTCTTATGCGATTTGTAAGAAAGATTACAGAGAACTGGAACACTACTTGACGATAACCCGGTGTTATGCGATCAATAGGGACATTGATGGGGACTTGTCCGGGGAGTATGTGTCATTCTGCCAGATGGCACAGCGCAACCTTCCGGCGACACGAAATAAAACGAATAAAGGCCTTATTAACGAAAAAGTATTGCGAAGGAGGGTACGAATATTCTAGAATTTTTATTTTCAAAATTTCGATCGGAAGAGGAATATTTCTCAGAAATACAAAAAAGACGGCCATTTTGACGAAAGACGACGAAAAAACAGAACAACGACAAATATTGTGGAAAACTGTCGCACGAGAGACAAAAAATACGAAGCCTCTTGTCGTGGCAACAACACACGATAAGACTCTTAGCAGAGGATATTAGTGGAGAAGGAAGCTTCAGTGGGGAAGGAATATTCCACGGAATCCTCCCGTGCCACAAATTGGAAGAGATGAGGACGTTATCTCAGGAAGATTACGGGAGCGGAGTCTTGGTCCCCCAGAGACTGTTTTATGTAAAGGGACTTTATAAAACTAACTTTGTAGCTACTTGGATGTCGTAGAAGTCTGAATTAACACCGGTATAATTTGATATTTTAGAATATGAGTAGCTAGAAAGAGGAAAGGGTCAATCCATCTCCAATGGATTTAATATAGAACTGTCACACAAAAACATATTAAAATAGGTTGTTCGAGCCGTGTTTTTAATGGCAATCACGTAGTCTGAGGATCCGAGACTCAGCTATGTGGTTGTGTTCGCATGTAAACGAAAGCTGATCAAAAGTCGTTTGACTGATGGCCTCAAAGTAGTAACTTTTTACTTAGCCCTAAACAGACCAGAAAATCAACTGACAAGGTCGAGACGGTGAAAAACGAGTAGGATTAAAGTAACTGACGCCTGCCATTCGTTAATAGGTACTTTTCTACGCTCCGTCGCTGTGTAGTATTTGGGCGAATGTTACAATGGTCAAACCCCTGTCCAGAACTCACAGAAACCACCAGGAAAAAATACACCGAAGTGGTCCACTGGAAACCGGTCTTTATGATCTTGTCAAAAAATAAAGTTGGTTATAACTTCATTGAAACCCTCAATAGAACTTTGAACAGCCTGATAGAAAACAACGAAAATATCTTCGCAATGCACGCAGCAATGATTTTTTCACACTTATTACTGTGCAAAACAAAGGCCGAAATTGATGGATCTTTATCCAAACCAATAGCAAGGCGACTTAAGCAATGGCAAGACGGAGACCTGGATGGACTATATAATGAAGGAAAGGCGCTGCAAATGCGCTTGTTGAAAGGAAATAGAAGAAAAACTGAAACTGAAGCACAACAGTTCAACAAACTAATGAGTACTGGAAAAATATCAAGCGCAATTGAAAAACTAACAGACACATCTAAAGGCGTTCTTTCGCTCGACGAGATTGTCAAAGGTAAGACAGTAGAACAGACTCTCATAGAGAAACACCCACCATCTAAACCAATTGATGAGAACTATATTACACCAGTCTCAAACGAAACAATTCCTTTCCATCAATCGATATTTGATCAGATAAACGGTCAACATATCAAATGGACAGCCATGAGAACGCACGGATCGCATGGACCATCTGGCCTCGATGCAAATGAATGGAGACGTATTCTAACACACTTCGGGCAACAATCAGTTGAAATTTCAAAAACAATTGCTAAAATTGCAAAAAAATTGGCCACATAAGAACTAAATCCAGAACTAATGGAACCATATAACGCATGCAGATTAATACCCTTAGATAAGAATCCAGGGGTAAGACCCATAGGCTTGGTAGAAGTTATGCGTAGGATAATAGGGCAAACAATAACTAAATGCCTAAAAAACGAACTCATGTCGCTCGTTTCAAACTACCAACTCTGCCTAGGACAAAAATGTGGCATTGAATATGCGATCCACACGCTAAGAGATCAATACAGCAAAACTTCCGCCGATGCTGTTCTACTGATAGATGCCGAAAACGCTTTCAACTCGCTGAACCGAAAGCTGGCATTAAAAACATCGAAATTACCTGCCCTTCCATTTTAACAATAATTATATTCATAATTTGACTTACACTTGTACACTTGAAAATACTTTCAACTGGCAAATAAAGTGTTTTATTTTATTATGCGAGATGAAAATTGGAAGGGCCCCTTTTGTAATTTAGTTTTTGTAATTTAGTTTTTGTAATTTAGCTGAACCGAAAGCTGGCATTAAAAAACATCGAAAATACCTGCCCTTCCCTTTTAACAATAATTATTTTCATAATTTGACTTACACTTGTACACTTGAAAATACTTTCAAATGCGAGATGCAAATTATGAAAAATCCCTCAATAATGAAAACGTTTTGGAAGGCGCTACAATGCCATACCATCTCAAGAAAACCCCTGAAGAAAACGCTTCTATGTAGCTTTTCCTATTTTAGGTGGTAGAATGATCAACATAAAATTAAGGCCCGAGGAACTTCTGGCCGCTACAAATGTTACGGCGACTACTCCAGTCACCGTGAGTTTCCATAGTGGAACAAGTCTTCCTGCAGGAACTTCCGTAGTAAATACAATCGATATCTCCGCGCTTGTTGAATTGGCACACAATGAGTATCAGAGAGGAGAGTACGAGTCAGCTGAGCGGCATTGCATGCAGCTGTACGCTCATTGTCCTGATAATGTGGCAGCGCTTTTGCTGCTGTCATCAATTCATTTCCAAGTAAGTTAAAATTTTGGGCCGTTATATGAATTATATTCTACTTGTGCCATTTTCGTTACATGGTTTTTTATGATAGTATGAATCACGATTTTCTTTTAGTGCAAGAGGTTAGATCTGAGTGCCAAGTACTCATTGGAAGCTATTCGAAAAAACCCAAGTCTAGCAGAAGCTTACAGTAATTTGGGAAACGTTTTCAAAGAAAGAGGGCAAATCGGTGAAGCCCTACAAAATTACAAACACGCCATCAATTTGAAACCAGATTTCATTGATGGGTATATCAATCTGGCTGCTGCTCTTGTAAGCGCTGGAGACATGGAAGGGGCTGTTCATGCATACTTGTCTGCATTGCAATGTAATCCTGAGCTGTACGCTGTAAGAAGTGACCTGGGAAACCTCTTGAAAGCCCTAGGTATGTCTGAAACCTCAAAAATTCAATCATGGAACTTATGAGCTTCATTTCTGAATGCCATATTTTTGAGTATTTTCTATTTTACAGGTCGCTTGGACGAAGCTAAGCATTGTTATCTGAAAGCAATTGAAACAAAACCTGACTTTGCGGTTGCCTGGAGTAATCTCGGCTGCGTTTTCAATGCACAAGGAGAAATTTGGCTGGCGATTCACCATTTCGAAAAGGCAGTACAACTTGACAGCAACTTCCTTGATGCTTACATAAACCTTGGAAATGTTCTCAAGGTAGAAAATTGTTTCCGCGCATAATTTGCGTACAGATTAAGGATATTTATTTCATTTTTTTGTTTGATTGAAGGAAGCGAGAATCTTCGAGCGAGCAATCGGAGCTTACCTGCGAGCTTTGAACTTGAACCCTCTGCATCCAATTGTGCATGGAAACTTGGCTTGTGTATACTATGAGCAAGGACTCATTGACTTGGCTGTTGACACGTACAAAAGAGCGATCGAATTACAACCCAACTTCCCTGATGCATACTGCAATTTAGCAAATGCACTTAAGGAAAAAGGTGATTCAAATTGTTGGCTCATATTTGGCTCTTCAAATTGTTGGCTCTTCAAATTGTTGGCTCATATTAGGACATAAAAACTAAATTAGCGTGAAAACCAGATTGATCTTTCAAGTTTAGTAATTGCTGTTCAGTAAAATGAGTTTTATCAGGTCTCGTCTCAGAGGCAGAAGAGAGCTACCAAACAGCTCTTAGACTATGTCCGAACCACGCGGACTCCTTAAACAACCTGGCCAACATAAAACGGGAGCACGGACTGATAGAGGAGGCAATTCGTCTGTACTGTCGAGCACTGGAGGTGCAGCCAGAATTCGCAGCTGCTCACAGCAACTTGGCCAGTGTTCTCCAACAGCAGGTTTCTTTTAAGTTTTTCAACAAAGATTTTCTCCATAGATAAATCAAGTGATGAATTCATCACGTTCGGTGTGAGAAAAGATTGCCGCGTTTTGCAATATATTAGACAATTTTCTAGTTCAAAGCAGGATTGTTTGACAATGTTTTCAGGGTAAGCTGTCGGAAGCTCTGAGTCACTACCGTGAGGCCATCCGTATCCACCCTACTTTCGCAGACGCCTATAGCAACATGGGAAATGCCTTCAAAGAAATGGGCAGTGTCAACGAGGCACTTCAGTGCTACACGAAAGCCATCCAGATCAACCCTGCGTTTGCTGATGCTCACAGCAACCTCGCAAGTGTTCATAAAGACTCGGGAAATATCCAAGAAGCGATCCACAGTTACAGGACATCGCTGAGATTGAAGCCAGATTTCCCCGACGCATATTGTAACTTGGCTCATTGTCAGCAGATTGTGTGCGATTGGGCGGATTACTCAGACAGGATGAAGAAAATTGTGAAACTTGTTCAGATTCAGCTAGACAAAAACAGGTTAGCAGAAAATAGTGAGGAATTTTCGGATTTATAACCCGGTCCAGACGCAATTTCTTCTGCATTTTTTGTTAATTTTTTAAAGACATTTTATGAGTAATGGCGAAAGTTTTGTCATAATTCACAAGCTTTCCCCTTCAAATATAACCGGAAAAAAAATTTTTTGAGAGAAGGCATTTTATCGAATTATAAATAATTTTGAGTTGCTTGGCTTGAATATCGAAGATCTTTGAACTTTTAGACTACCAAGTGTGCACCCCCACCATTCCATGCTGTACCCCCTGAGCAACAAACAGAGAAGGGGCATTGCAGCCAAACACGCAATGCTTTGTCTTGAGAAGGTGCAAAACATCCTCCGCGTGAGAGGACCTTACACATTCCCACAAGAGAAGTACGGAAGATTGGGCCTTGGTCAGAGGCTGAAGATCGGATATGTGAGTTCGGATTTTGGAAACCACCCGACGTCGCATCTGATGCAGAGCATACCGGGATTCCACGACAAGGTAAATCAATCAAGATCCACACGTACATTATGGTAAACCTAGCAAATATATGCCATTAATGAAAAAGATCATTCAATTTCTATGAGAGAAGCGAACGAAACCTCGACCACACCTAGAGTGAAAGTTTGATAAAAAGAATCATCGAGGGTTCAGAAAAACCATAGTAAATTATGAAGCTAATGCCAATCAGTTTTATTGCGAGGTGGTCCTGAAATGCTTTCTTTATAACAATTGACCCCCTGTGATGTACTGTTCAGAGCAATATTGAAATCTTCTGCTACGCACTGAGTGCGGATGATGGAACGACCTTCAGAAGTAAAATAAAGTCAGAAGCTGAGCACTTTGTGGACCTGAGTGGAATCACGTGCAACGGGAAGGCAGCTGAAAGAATCTATCAGGACGGGATCCACATTCTCATGAATCTGAATGGATACACGAAGGGAGCAAGGAACGAAATATTTGCACTGAGACCAGCACCTATTCAAGTATGTTTGTAGACTGTATTTCTTAGACTCTGTTCTTTTCCAGTGACCATGATGATACCTTTGATTTTTCGTTTTCTAATTAAATAATATCATAAAAAACACTTTTGGTGTAAATTTTTGACGAATACTTATTGCTATTGCATTTGTTTCGAAATTACATCCCAACCTAATGCAAATCTCGCGAATGAGAAAAAAACTGAGTCCCTCGACTAAAATGAACTTGAAGTGTACGTTAAGCTCCGGTGATCTCCCAAGTTTGATTTTCATGAGGGCGGACTGTAAGGTAATACTGCCCTTAAATTTATTATCTATCTATACTGTATTTACATGCGCGTGAGACGTAAATCACCATGTTTAAGCGTAGTTGCTTGTTTAACGAAAGAATTTTCACTTTCTTAAGTTGTGTCGTATATTGTAAAGCTTAAGATTTTTTTTCGATTCTTCGTGAATATGTATCTTAGGCCAAGAGGTAGAGGTATTAGACTGTTGCTATGATGCTAGCATAGTAAGGGAGCTAGCTCAGTGTATGGTAGTGTAAAGGGGTTTATCCATCTTTACATTTTGTACCGAGCATTTTTTGTTTCAGCGTTTTTTTTTTCACCAAGGTTGAAATAAGCAACCCTCATAGCAAATTTTGTCGCTAATACTTTTTAGCTTCCGCGATATGGCGTTTTTTATTACTTTTTGTGAAAAAGGGCGAACAAAAACTTGTCAGGGCAGTGGTCAGGGCGACAGTTAAATTATACCGCGTGGCAACCCTGCAGGGTACTTTCAGGTCTTGCAAATTTTGCCTCCAAATATGACTGCTGAAAAACACTTTTGTCCGAGGTATGCCGTTTTTTTATTTTTTCAACAAATTAGATTTTTTTCTTAAGAATTTTGAAATTCTCAACTACATGGTGGGGCACTGTCACGGAACTCTAAGCAGGTTTTCATCTGAGCTTCAAAATTCTGCTCAATTGCCTTTTATCTTCCGAGGTATGGTGTTTTCATGATTTTTTAAAATTATCAAAAACTTATATCTCAAAACATTTCCAGAAGCTCGAAATTGTCGATTCCTTGGTTGGGTGATGTTAGGGTACTCACAGCAGTTGCAGATATGGCACACATACAAATGATTGGTCAAGTTTTTTCATTATCCAAAATATGATCTTTTTTGATATTTCAAAAAAGTTTTTCGCCCGTCCATCAACCAATCCTACAACAAGCTAATCATCCAGCTTGCCTTTCATCAATCTAGCTATCCTTCCACCTAACTGTATACCCATCAATTAGGCCGTCCATCGATGTAGACCTCCGCACAACGATACATCCAAACATCATTCCTTCCATACATTCATCGAGGTTTTCAATCATTAAGTGATCCAACCAGCTATCCATCCATCTAGCCATTAATCAATCCAAAGAACCAACAAGCAATTCATTCATTAATTGACAAATCCATGTAGCAATCAGTTCATCAAGCCATACATCCATCTTGCCATCCATTAATCCAACCAGCCATCCATCGAGCCATTCTTCATCTAGCCATCCATCCTTCAAGCCATCTATTCATATAGCCAACCATCCATCACGCCATCGATCTTTCCACGATCAATTTCACCATTCATTAAGCCATCCATTTCTAACTAGCCATACATTCCTAACGAGCCATCCATTCAGCCTGTCAGATATATTTAGCCATTCATTCAAGGAACCAGCTATCCATCAATCCTGCTATTCATCCACTCATCCATCTATCAATAAGCGATCCATCCAGCCATCCATACAGCTATTCATTAATCTAGCAATCCATCCTGTAAGATACCAACCTGTCATCCAATCGAACATATGGCCATGCATCCAGCCATCGGTCTAGCCATCCATCTATCTATCCATTCATTCATACCATCCATTCTGCCTAGCCATCCAGTCAGCCATTCATAGTCATCCACCTAGTTATCCATCGACCTATGCAGCCATATATCATTTCAGCCACCACTTAAGCCATCCATTACTCCAGTCATCCATCCGACCAGCCATCTAGCCATCCATTCGTCCATCCCTCAAGCCATCCATACAACCAGCAGTCTAGCTATCCATATAGACAGCGATCCATGCGTCCATCGAGCTTTCCTTTCATCCTGCCGTCAATCTATTCAATCAGCTTTTCATTCATATATTCGTCGATTCATCCATCCATCCTTACAATCAGCTAGCCATCCATCCAACTTTTTTTGTTTAAAATAGGCGTTTTCATTTTCCGAGAGCAGCTTTAGCTGCAGTGGGCCTGCTAGTTTGTTTGATATTGAGGTTTGGGTAAACATAGACGGCAAAAACATAGCTTGATGGTTTTCGCTGTGGTCAGTTTTCAAAATTTCGAAAGCTCTTAAAATTACAGGAGTGTTCACTACCCGCAAACGTACAAAAAATCGTGTTGCTACTCTTTAGTTATCGGAAACAAAATTTTTTTGTTCTACTTCTTCATGGAGACAAAATTTATTTGATTTCAGGTCATGTGGCTGGGCTACCCGGGTACTTCTGGAGCCAGTTACATGGACTACATAGTGACAGATTGTGTAACTTCTCCGCTAGAGGGAGTGGAAAGTGACTACAGTGAGAAGTTCGCATACATGCCGAGGACATTCTTCGTTGGTAAGTATTCCACACTCATCTTTCTATTTTTTGAAATATCAACTTGATGTTTGATTTTTGACATTAAGTGCGCCTATGACTTCAATTTTTTAAATATAGCCAAGCATGTTAACAAAAGTTTGGCTTTTGTTTTTAGGATACATGAATCTCGTTAGCTTAAAAAATTTTATTCACTTTTACAATTTGTTTCAAGATGTTTTTTTCTCCAGGCGACCACAGACAGATGTTTCCCCACCTGAGAAATAAAATCCTCCTGGAAGTGAATGGCAAGTGTCGCCCCACCCACACCATCATAAACACACACAATGTCAGTCAGCTGATGAACAGTCCCTGTCTCACTGTAAGGGAGACCTCATCATATCCTGCTTTCTGCTGTGCTCAGATTAAGTGGCCGCCTCCGACAACCACCAGTCAAGGTCAGATACTCAGATAACATGGTTGATTGGGTCATAATTAGAGTTGTACCGGGAAGTGGTATCCGGAATCGATATCAGGTTATCCAGCATCTGGTTCCTGCACGGATATCCGGTAAAATAGCACCGGATACTGACCGCGTTTTTTGACTACAAAAAACATTCGAAAACCCACTGAATTCAAAATAAGCGTATAACACGATTCAATCAAAATGTGGAAGATTATCATGTAAACTTGTTACATACATGTACATCGAATTCAATCAATTATTTCATCAATTCTGCATTTATCCGGTGTATCCGTTAAGTTTTATTATCCGGAAGTAACACGTATTTTCAAAAATGCGTGCCGAGCTTAATAGTTGTGAGATAATTTTTATTTTGCTCTATTGAAATATCTTTTCCTCAAAAATAAGTCCCCTAGAAGGTAAAATTTTTGCGATTATCAAGTTTAAGATCTAGCAGACCAGTATATGTTAGATGCCGGATGCATTGTTCGGGGTCTATGGATCTCTATTTGGAGCTCATATTTTGCGAGCTCAACTTTTGTGCGAATGCAAGTAGTTGTGTACCTAGCCTAATTAACAACTTGCTGTGGCCAATTTGGTGACTAATGAACATAGAATAAGATTCATTACTTAAATTTTGTCACTCCTAAGTGTAATATCTTTGTCTTTCTACCTAGGTCTAATAGTCTCTTTACATGAATTTTCGCATGCCTGTGGTATGTGTAATATCTCTAGCTCAGGGTTTGAAGTACAGCTTACATGCTCTAAAGGAATAAGGGATTAATGACATACAATAAAACCCTGAAGGTATAAAAATAGGTAAATTGAAGTTAATTTCACTTAAGTAATCTGAAAGGCCGTTAAATTTAATGGTCTTGCAGTAACATTTTATTAGGAATTACGTGATAAAAAGGGGGTTAGGACAAGTGTTTTTTTTTAAAGAAAGTAGCTTTTGTGAAAAATAATTAGCTTAACTTAGATGAAAAAGAATTCTTTCGCTTGTGATGTATATTCAAATTATTGAATCCATTAAATTTTATTTCTTACACATGTATGGAGATGATAGATAAGAGGCATGTATGCCCAATAAGACTATGCCCTTGGAGTGTTTGCTAAAATTATTGGCCACATTGAGTAGAAAAAAAATTAAATTAGCGGGAAAAAAAACAATCGAAATAAAATTCCAGTAATTTCTGTTTCAGAAGTTCAGCAAGTACACCCTATCAAGGCACTCCTTGAAAACAACCTGGCAGTAGCAATGCTATCCGATGGCCAAGTCCTCCAAAACGGATTGGCCAACCAGCAAATCAATACCAAAACCGCAACAGGTGAACTATGTCCCAACCAACATATAGTAACCTCGAGGCTGCAATACAATCTACCCGAAGACGCCTTCGTGTATTGTAACTTCAACCAGCTGTATAAGTTGGACCCGAAAACCATGCATTTATGGTTGCAGATTCTCTCACAAGTACCAAATAGTGTGCTGTGGCTATTGAGGTTCCCGCAGTGGGGTGAGACTAATGTTCTGAACTATGCGAGGCAATTTGGCCTCGAGAACCCCCAGGATCGAATCATTTTTTCGAATGTGGCGCCGAAAGAGGAGCATGTGAGGAGAGGTCAACTTGCTGATGTGTGTTTGGACACTCCGATATGCAATGGACATACAACCGGTATGTTGAAGCAATTCTTAGGAACTAATTTATTACACTTGCGAAAGCAAGTGTTTTGTAATTGGGAACTAGGTTTTTTCCCGTAAACAAATATTTTGACGAAACTTTTTGATTTTTTTTCAATCGAAAGAACCGGTTGTCTGAATTTTCTACAAAAAAGACGACTCTTGTTAGAGATTTTTGTTAGAGAAATGATACGCCCTTTGGGAAATTCCATTATCTCGAAATTTTTTCTCCTACTTTTGTAGAGAAACAACTAGGATTTGGGTAAAGTCCTAGTTTTGAAAATACCCGTTTCATGCCGCATTAGTATAACAAATTCAAAGTATCAAACATGTACCGATTAGTTGCCACAGCTCGGTTTTTTCTTGCGCCTTAAGCAACTTTTTCGGACAAACTTGTGTCTGCTCAAAGAGTCTCGGCTTTGTTTACTCTTCGTTTATTTTGTTCCGTTGCTATTTTTATATTCAATTGTCTGACATAATTGCCTATTATGAACTTCTATTGAAACATACGAAAATTGAAGTTTAAGTAGACCTAGTTTGTTGTCAACATTTTTTTTCCGCTTTGCCTCTGTTTGTTGTTTTCTTGAAGAAAATGTCATACAATTTGATTATACAGCATGTTATTGGTTTGAATTTTGAATATTTAGAGCTTAGAGATGTTTGGGGAAAATATTCGAATTTTCTGCAATTTTTTTAGTACTTTAACCGAACAATTAGGAATAATTGGCAAGGTTGTTGCTTTTACCCATGTATTTGGAGTGGTACGTCAGATTCTTTCATATGGATGACAAGACTGCTCTTAAAAGGACAAAGCCCTGATTGTTCCGACTGCCCTTTTACGCCTATTGAGTAGTGTTCGACTTTAAGAAATGATTTTTCTTTGAAAATCATCCCCAACACGATGGTTTGTAACTTTCAGCTTACCAGGAGCTTAATGATATTTCTCAGTGATCACCAGGTACCTATGAAAATCAGGTTTCTCCAAAATATCTCAGCCTGATCAACTAGCTTATTAAAAAAACAATTTCTCGGATGTAATGGCATTTCGACTGTCTTGGAGCTCAACAAATTTGAAAATAAGGTTCTCATCTGATTTTTTTTTGCAAAATTGATTGACTCCGAATAGGATTCACATAGGATGTTTTTTTACCTTTTTTATGTGTATTGTGAAGGAGTTGACTTAAAACATGTAGAAATTTCCCCTTGTTCAGGCATTGTTGTTGGCCTTTGCGAGGTGTCAATCTAGCGCCCAAGAAGATACTGAAACTCACAGTCATAAGGTGCAATGCTTCAGAAGACTTATTCAAATTTTTAATTTTTCAGAGGCTGCCAGCTAATATTAAATCACTCAGGTTTTATCAGAAGTCAAATGAGTCTGCAAAATATCATGAAGTTTCCCTCCGGACGCAGTCAATAAATTGATACCACTTAATGAATTCGTTGCCTTTTTCTTAGCCTAACATTTTGAGGCTGAGGCTGATTTCAAGCACCTCTCTAAAGGCGACTTTCGAAAAAATTTGGACATGTTACTGTGTGTATATTCGAGCAGTACGCAGCTAAATCATACTTATTTGGTATGAATCGCTTTGTATTCCAAATATTGCCTTTTCTTTCTCTGATTTACTCCGAAAAAGTGGACCATGTACCAGGAGCAAAGCGAAAAGCGTAATTAAATTGACTAAATTTTCTACTACCGCTAAACAGAGATCGCTTACAGTTAGAATTGTGCAGGCTTTTAACTATTTAAAACAAAATGACTTGATACCTGTTAATATATATGAAATGTCACAAGTTAGCTGTTTCAGATTCTATAAACAATTTTTTCAAATTTACCCAATGACAATCAGAACCTCTATAAACTGTTTTTTAACTTCAGCCCTTAAATTATTTTGTTTGTTGAGTTAATGCTGGCTGTCTTCTCTTTACTCTCCCGGGTATCCTACTCGATGAGCGTACTGCTCTTTAGGATATCCCTCCAGACATGATATATTGATTTTGGCGTTGTATATGTAGCTGGTAAAGTAATTCAAATTTCAAAATATGTCATTTTGATCCAACAATTGCGTGTGAAATAGGCTTAAAAATGTGGGAAAAAATTATATCAAAAAGCTTATTCCCTTCTGAAAACTACATAGAGAAGAATTAAAGGGCATTTGGAACAGTCAGTGGTTCGAGCAGTCTTGTTTTCAGTATATATTAAAGGTCGGATTTTTTTAAAAAATCAGTCATTTTAAAGGTCTTCTTGAGTTGATTGCCACTTTTCTGGCTGTCTCCTGGCTGTTTTTGTTATCAATCGGATTCTAGTTGATTCTCATATCTTCATATACGATTTTGGTTGAAGGTATGGACATTCTGTGGACTGGAACTCCTATGGTGTCTCAGCCTCTTACCACATTGGCCTCGAGAGTGGCAGCCTCCCAGCTGTACGCCCTGGGATGTCCAGAGCTGGTAGCGAACTCGGCCAAGCAGTACCTGGACATTGCTGTCAGACTCGGAAACGACAGGGAGTTCTATAGATCGACCCGAGAAAAGGTTTGTATTCGAGAAACTGAAAGGTTTTACAACAAGATGCACAATCTTGCAGCAGCTCAAAGTTTTAACAAATTGTATTGCACGTGTAACATTTTGTTTCAAAATTTATGCTATGTTTTTCTTTTCGACCGAAGGAAGAAACGCGTAGAAGTGAATTGGAAAAAGTTCTTGTCTTAAGTCCGAAAATGATTGTTTTAGGTGTGGAATAACGTGAAAGACGGGATACTGTTCAACACGCAACAGTATGCTCGGGACATGGAGCGACTGATGTATAAAGTGTGGCAGCGACATGAGCAGGGGCTGAATCCGGACCACGTGACTGAACTGTCCCACTACACCTACAGAATGAAGTCAGACACGCCCAATGCACCCGAAACACTAGGTGGGTATTATTCTTAACAAACTCCGGGCAATCCTTCATGCGAAGAAACGAATGGACCATTTTTTTTTTTTGGAAAATCACTTCATTATTCAGAAATCTTTCGTAATTAACTGATAAATTCTTTCAGTTTACAGGGCATTGATTGGTTGAGAGTTCGCGCACTCGGTCCTTCACGCATGAGAGTAATACCCAATAAACTCCACTAAGGGAATCTAAATCAGATGATTTGAATTTTGTGAAGTAATGACAGAATTTTGACCTGAAGTTAAATCATATCAAGTTACTCGGACTAAAAACGCACAATTGATAACAAAATGCGTTCAAATTTTTAGTAATCCGATGGTAATTTATTGTCCTGTCAATTCGATGGCCTAGATATGAATTTTTGGTTCCACAACATGAAAAATAACGGGATTGAACAACCTTTTTCCTAAGAATTCCCCATACTTGACGCAACAAATATCCACGCGGAACTTGATAGAAAGCGTGCAGCGGAGTGCCAAGAATTTATCAAGTATGATTAATCACTAACTTCTTTTCTGACTGAAAACTGAAAACTTAACGCTTTTGTAAATTTTAATTGACTTCGCAAACAGATGAAATAGTTTGAACAAGATTCCGATGAAGTCAATTTTTGAATAAAAAATTAGCAGATCGTTCTTTAACAAATCGATATCTTTTCTAGCTATTCAGTCCTCAATCAGTGGAGCTTCCTTGATGCCTCTGACGTCCTCCTCAATAATGGGAATAGTGGCTGGAAAAGGAGACAGACAGTCGCTGAATGGGTCCAGTGGTAAAGATGATTCCTCGCACAACAGTTCAAGTGGTAACAGTCACCATCTGCATGCCCACTCATCGAATCGATCGTCCTTGGCCAATGCATCCTTGGACAGTCAGAATATGTAAGACATTCCATTTCACCATTAACCATGAGTCATGGTTTAAATATAATAGTTGGATCCATAAATTATTAGGGTAGTGCCCCTGAATCCAAAATACCCACCCCAAAATTACCAGATTAACGTCGTCTATGTGAAACATAACGGCCTCATTTCACGTATTTAGTGCTCGAGATGGAACCAACCGTCACGTGTACAACACAAGCAACCTCTCAAGACAGCAGAGTCTATCTGTAGCAATGGGGAACAGTACACCAAGCTCCCCCTACAGAAACAGCACCGGAAGCGCCAGTTTGTCACCTGTAGCCGCTATGAATAACCAACAGTTGAGCCACCAACACTTGAGTGTAATATCGCCATCCCCAGCCCATTCACCATACAACCATGCTAACTTGCTAGCTGGAGTCCAAAGTCCCCACCACCACCATCATCATCACCAGAACTCATCCAACAAACGAGCCTGAGAGGGTCTTGTGAGACGAGACAAGAACCTAGTTTTAACGATAACCAAATTATTCAGTTATTATTTATCGCTTCCTCCATTGTTAAATACTATTCACTTTATTGGAGCACTACGTCCTATTAGAAGCCGTGCCGAGAAATTCTATCACGTGGATGTAACTTTTCTATGTAAGCTGTATATACATTACAGATGTCGCTCGGCGCCCTTGAAAGAGAACTCCAAGAATTTGTCCTGCGTTCAAAAAGTTCGAATAAATGTCCTCTCAGAAAACTGAGGGTCGAGTAAAGAACCGTTCTTGGGTTCAGAGAATGACTTGATACGTGGACAAATGCTATAGATGTCAAGGATTTCTTAGTTACGGCATACTTGGACCCTGCTGTGGATTCAATCATTCCGAGCAGGGATGCATAGTCGTCATTGATGCATAATGCTGTGAAGGAGCATGAATTAGGAAAAAGCTCAAGGAAAAACTTTTCAGCTCGTCAAAATGAGTTAAGCGATCCCAGGAGCCTTTGACCCAAAACTCGCCGAATGTTCTTCTCGCCTAGTTGTGTATGAATTTATGAACCATATGGGTTCTGATTTATTACTTTTTTTGTTTAGTTACCTTTTGTATATGCCTATCAAAATTACCCCTACGTTCCTGGTGTATGTGAATTTGTGTGTTGTTGCCCTTTTCAAATAAACTAGACTTTACCTCGCTCTGAAATACGGTAAGGGATCGGGGAGCTATTTTAACTCACACAAGTTTCACTTTATACAAAATTTTTAATGGTGCTTTAATGTTCACATTTTTGCTTTCTGGTATTCCAGTTATTAATTTTTTTTTGCGGTAGCTCGTGACTGAAAATTCCTCATATATTCCACAGTGCTGTGATTTCGATTCGTTTACTATATGATTTCGATTGTACCCTATATACAATTCTTCTGAAATTCTGATAATATTATTAAAGTTGAAAAACTTGCGTTGTAATGCCACTAATCATAGTAATCGTTCAGTAGAAAAATTTATTTTTGCCACAAAATTGAGGAGACTTAATGTCTACCTGTCTCAAATGTCAGAACGTTGAAATGTCAGAGAAAAAATGTTTGGCTGAAAAAGGAAAATGGAACGTTATAGTAAAGCGATGATGTAATGGTGCTAGTGGTGCTAAAGTTTTCTTCATTTTAGCCTAACTGTTCTGAGCTTTTTAGTGCTGCTTTTTTTTTGTTTTGTTTGACCTTTTTTTCTCATTTTTTTTTCTGTTAGCAGGTGATTTATTGTGTTCTTTTAACGAAGCTGGACCACAACTGGCTGCAAAAATACCCCTCGGACCTCGCAACATAACCCAGACGACTTCACATCAATACCCAGACGGTTTTGGATAGTTTGGGCAGCATCATAAATGTATTGGTAACCTTTTGTGAATGATGTTGAAAGTGTTTGCATGTTTTTATGTACGTTATATTGTTTCTTATAAAGCACCAAAGTATGTTCCAAGTGCCAAACTGATGACAAAATGGTTGAGAATTGAAAAGTAGAGTTGAGAAGTAAAATTGCGCTAACGCTGCAAAAAGGTCCAATCTGTGATGGTTAAAAATATACAAAGCCTCGCTGTTTGATAAAATGATGATAAACATATGCTTGCTTCGAAACGCATATAATCTCGATAATATATATGCCAATTTGATTAAGATCTATCAGTAAGGTCGATAGTTAATTAATTTACCCCCTACTGATCTACTGATTTTAGAAATTTCCACACTATAATCTGATCCTTTTTCTTAAGTTATGCTATAGTTCATAAGCGGTGTAAGAAAACAGGCGCATGGGTAAAAAGTTTTTGACATATGTATTGATTTTTGAAATGCTTCGATAATTATTGTTCAGAAAAAGTATTCAACGAGCAATTTACATCTAATTTTGTGATTTTTGTTATTTTAAAAACTCTGCGTTGGTATGACAAGATGGGAAAGATTAGGTTTCATGTTAAGGTAATTATCCGTAGCCACTCTCCCCTCATGTAGTCTTTTTTGAGCTGACGTTGAAACTGTTAATTTTCTGTAATAAAGATACATGTTCTTAAAAATAGTCATATCTAATGTGTCAAGTGGTCAAGAGAGCCAACATCATCTGTTAATGCGCATACGCTGCAATTTTCAAGTTGTAATCTATGATAAGTTTCATCTATACGCATGATTTTCTGGCAAATGTTACTTGAGAATAAGTTGCTGTAATGAAATGTAAAATACGTCATGTGGTTACTGCAATTGCGCTAACGCCGCCTTTAGCTCCAACAATTTTAGGCTAAACCGACGCCATGTTATTAGGCGCGATTAAGAAAACAGCTGCTGAGTTTACAGCCCTGCGCAAAAGCCGCTAACGCCGCAATAGCAAGTTTTTAGCAAGTCCATTAAAAATAATCCTAAACTGAACGGAATAATTGAACAGCCTTGCGCAAACGCCGCAATTAAATAGCAAGTTTTTAGCAAGTCCATTAAATACCAAGTCCATTAAAGATAATCTTAAACTGAACGAAATAATTGAACAGCCTTGCGCAAACGCCGCAATTCAGAAGCAAGTTTTTAGCAAGTCAATTAAATAGCAAGTCCATTAAAGATAATCCTAAACTGAACGAAATAATTGAACAGCCTTGCGCAAACGCCGCAGTTCAAAAGCAAGTTTTTGGCAAGTCAATTAAATAGCAAGTCCATTAAAAATAATCCTAAACTGAACGAAATAATTGAACAGCCTTGCGCAAACGCCGCAATTAAATAGCAAGTTTTTAGCAAGTCCATTAAATAGCAAGTCCATTAAAAATAATCCTAAACTGAACGAAATAATTGAACAGCCTTGCGCAAACGCCGCAATTTTAGCAAGTCCATTAAATAGCAAGTCCATTAAAAATAATCCTAAACTGAACGAAATAATTGAACAGCCTTGCGCAAACGCCGCAATTAAATAGCAAGTTTTTAGCAAGTCCATTAAATAGCAAGTCCATTAAAGATAATCCTAAACTGAACGAAATAATTGAACAGCCTTGCGCAAACGCCGCAATTCAAAAGCAAGTTTTTAGCAAGTCCATTAAATAGCAAGTCCATTAACATAATCCTAAGCTAAACGAAATAATTGAATGAATATGCTGGACCAAGGGTGCAGTTTTCAAAGACATTTCTGACCCACCTGAAGGTAGTACCAGTCTTTTAAGACTTTTCTTAAAACATTGCTTTAGTTCCAATATAAATAGTTTTTACTATAACTGAATTTCACAATCTGTAAATTTACCATGTCTGATTTTGATTTTTTCTTTTTAAAATTTATTTAAACAGTTTCAGTTAATGTTATATCGACTTAGTCAACTTATTTTGCGTGACTTCGAGGGCAAAATGTATCCGTTTCGGATTCTATATTTCAATTGGATGGGTCGTAAGCACTTAATTTTTATGGAATTTTTTATCAACACAGTTTTGTTTTCGGCTCAACAAGTTTCGACCCAAAGTTGCCGCTCGGTAAATGCTTTCTGCTTTTTAAGGGCTGTTAATTAATTTCATCCGATACAAATATGAATTTTTTGTTACGGTAATTTTTCAACTTGGTCAAGTATTTTTTTCCAGCATAATTTTTTTAATCTTTTTTCATATACTATTTTGTAACGCAATGTGTGATTTGCATTGCAAGTGCTGCGAAGCTCCGCTTCCTCTCTGTGTTTACTTTGCAAAACGATTAATTCAATTTACTCTGATATAAAAATTGAGTTAGTATTAAAGTATGAGAAGATAATGGTCTTTTTACTTATTCCGCCCCAAATCATTTTTCAACATCTCGAAGTGATTTTTTTTAAATTTGAAATTCCTTGTCTAGAATTTGAAAAACAGGTTCCAGCATCAACTTGGTTTTTTTTTGAAATTCATTGTCTAGAATTTGACAATCAGGTTCCAGCATCAAGATGTATTTTTCTAGGTGAAGTTCAAAATACAAGACAATTTTTTTCTTTTCGTTCATTGACTTTTCTAAGTCTCTGTTGGCTGTTTTTTTTTCAAGTAAGCTGCAGAATTTTGCTCGACCACAAACATAGAGCCAGGAGAAAAACGGTGCTTTTTCAAAAGTATGAAAAGTTAGGTCGATGTAGTTTTTTCGACATATCATCCAACTGTTTTTTTACTGCGGTTTTCGACAATTTTCTGTTGGATAGCTTGCCATGATTTGTTTGTGTTGTATCGCAAGTGGTGTGGATATCCGTTTTGAATCTGCGTCCTATTTGTTTTTATTATTTTGTTCAGTTTGTTAGTCGACCCAATGTGGCCTTAGTGTCATACTCGTTTTCTTCCCCACTAATTACAAGGATATTCAAAAAGAACTCGCTCTGAGACGCCTGAAAACAGGCTGAATTTAGTCCTATGGCGCTCTCTCAAGTGATGTTTCTGTAATAGTATTCTTCATTTGCAGTTCTTCAATGTAGTTTGGCTCATTACGCTTAGAAGAATGTATGTTTGCGCGAGCGCTGCGGCTAATACTTATTTATTTTACCAAAAAACAGTGGTTCAACCGCTGTTGGCTTGATAAAATGCCGTCAAAATTGCGCAAACGCTTCAGTAAAAGCCATTTTTTCCAGTAATACATATCTAGGTTATAATCATATTATGTTGCTAAATCTAATATTTACACACTCGGCTTTAGCGAGCGTAGTGTATTAGTACGACTATTCTTTTTTTCTTTCTAATAGCAATGTTGGTGCCATTTTTGGTGGCACAGTTACGGATTTTTGATAGCATGTGCTTTGACATTCGATTCGTAATAAGTTAACACAGTTGATCCATTTTTAATTTATCAGAAGATTCGAAAAAGCTATTTGCTTCAAACAACAGTACCATAAACAATTAAATTTCAGAAAACTCCCGACTCAATATATCGCCGATTTAATTAAAATGCATAATTTTTTTATAATTTGGTATTCTTTTCATGCGAAATCAGTGTGGATGCCTTCAATTTGTAATATTCCAAACTATTACCATCAAAATTGTGTCTTAGTGTTTGGTGCCATTTTTGCTGCATCGCATTGTCAATCTATTAGCATATGTAGCTGCTTTTTTCTGGCTAGTGTGTGTAAATTGTCAAAGGCCCATGGCTCAGATATGAGGGCAGGGGACTCTAAATCTCCAGGCGGTAGGATCGAATCTGGGGCAGCAAAAGTTTTAATGATCAAGTCCTTTTTTACCTTTTCTTTTCTAACTTAGTGCTTTTTGTCGTTGTGTTTTTACTAGTGTTTGCAAAGCGCAGCTGCTCCTCTGTGTTTATTGATTATTTTGTGCGAATTGTTGCATTTAGGAAACTGAGGTGTGATTTAAGGCGGACAATTTGGGTGATATGTTACAATAGGTGGTAATCTTGAGCATAGTGCATGTATTAAATTTGAAAACTAATGCATAGTATACTCATTTATTTTCCCTCATTTGTACATCTTACAAAGATAATTTTTGTGAATACTTTACTCTGCCAGATGAAATGTTATTCAAAAGTTCAAGTTCTACCTTTCGCCAAACAATTTGGCTTCTGAAATAAATTATAAATCTTGTTCGAAGTACAGCAAGTAACGATCCAGCTATTTAACTTGAACCTGCCACCTATTGTAATATATCACCCAAAATTTATTTTAGGGGCATAAAATTTGGGTGTTTCAGAAATCAACTTTCAGACAAATAAAATGATCAAATTAATTTTAAAATATAATCGAAAAATAATTATGAATAAAAGAGTAAAAATATAACGAATTGAAGCTTCGTTCATTTTTATGTTTTAACTTGTCGTTGCCTTAAACCAATGCCGCACGCAGTTAATATAATAAATAATTCAAAGGTAATAATTTTCTGTGATGCAACTATTTTAGCCGCTTGAAACATCTGTTTCTATCTTTTTGAAATAGTTGTTATTGCGCTAACGCTGCTTCATTTTGTGTGTTAATTTTCATACTTCTTAAAATTCACTGAAGTTGAGTGAGGTGCAAAGAGGAGCATATAATTTGCGGTTGCCATGAGTATTGAATCAGTTAATTTTGCGCCTCACGCTGCTTTACTAGCGTCTTTAAAAAGTTACCCGAATGCGCTTTTTGCTGCCATACAGATTTATGCAAAATTTCGATTTCCACTTCAAAGAAATAGGTAAAATATTTGCGTATGTTGTTATTGCGCTCACGCTGATTCATTTTGTATGGCTACTTCTTAAAATCCAATTAAGTTGAGCCATGTGAAAATATTACAGTTTTTTTGCAATTGAAAAATACAGTGCTGATTTAAATTAACCGGACAAAACGAGCTAAACTTCAAATTTAAAACGCGTTTTTCTCAAATTGGGTTGAGTTTAGGTGAAAACTTATGAAGACAAAACTTGCTTAAAATTTTAGCAGGATTAATATGATGTAATTTGTTTTGCGAAATTCGGGCCCGAAATTTTACCCCAAAAATGGGTCATTTTGGCTTTTCCTAGTTAATAAAAAATTACGCCAAAAATACCCAGTCGATCTCAGACATAATTATACCAAAGTGAGCCCCTTACGTAGCCTAACAAATTTTAAGAAGGGTATATTCTCCAAAACATTGTATAAGTTAATTTATTTTTGTTCGATAGACAAAAAAGGTCGTTTTTACTATAAAAAATACCAATTATTTGTTTAAAAACAATTTTTAAACAATTTGCAAATTTTTTGGAGAATATGCCCTTCTGAAAGTTTGTTGGGCTACGTAAGGGGCTCACTTTGATATCATTATGTTTGTGATCGACTGGGTATTTTTGGCGTAATTTTTTATTAACTAGGAAAAGCCAAAATGACCCATTTTTGGGGTAAAATTTCGGGCCCGAATTTCGCAAAACAAATTACATCATATTAATCCTGTTAAAATTTTAAGCAAGTTTTGTCTTCATAAGTTTTCACCTAAACTCAACCCAATTTGAGAAAAACGCGTTTTAAATTTGAAGTTTAGCTCGTTTTGTCCGGTTAATTTAAATCAGCACTGTAGCATTGAAGCAAATATTTTTGCGCCACACGTTGCTTTAGTAATTTCTTTTAAAATTTACTCTAATGCGCTTTTCGCTGCCATGCTGACCGAATTAGGCAAAATCTTTCCGACTAGCTTATATTTATTATGAAGAAAGGTAGAATCCATATAAAAGTTGCCTACACGCGCAAGAAGCGAACTATGCTTGCATTGCCCCTACGCTGTATGTCTATAGTTGTGAGGAATAGTGTCTCAACCAGACTTTCCTCCCTAAACAACTTTTCTTACAAATCTGTAAGAAATTGAACTTGTTTTTAAACCTTAACTGGATAGTTTCTTCACACATGGTCTAGAGGTAACGCGGTTGCATTTCTATTTTAAGGTTTCGTGTTCGAATCCCGGTCGCAACCGTGTTTTTTTTTAGAATGTATGAAGTTGAATTTTTTATTCTAAAACATTGTTTTTCTGGGAGTTTCGTTTGTCTGCTTGATGTTTTTGGAAATAATTTCCGAAGCATGGAGTTTTTTCCGATTTAGACCATTCTTACTATAATTGAGAGTCGTCCGGCGATTTCGTCAAGTTACCATCTTGGGTTTTGATTTATTTTTAACATTTGTTTTTGATTATAAAGGTTTCGGCTGGTGTTTTTTTTGGGTTCAGTTAATTTTCGTTTTTCTAATTATTTCAATGAAATTTATAATTTTGTAACTTGATAGCTCAAAGCTTTTCTATGAAAACAGTTTCTTATGGTTTTATTTTTTCAGCTCGCCCAAGTTTTATCGCTTAGTGACCGCTTGGTAAATGATACTAAAAGCTTATTTATTGTTGGTGGTTGTATTTCGACTTTAAAATTTCTGTCTCATTTTCAGTAAAGGGTGATTTAATTAAGTAAAAATCTGCTAAATGAGAATTCAAATAGGTTAAATAAAATAAAAATTGTAGTTTTACTTAATTGAGAGTTCAAATCCCTCATATGTCGATAGTAAGTGTGTCATTCAGTCTGAAAAACGGAAAAAGGTTCAAACCAGTTTTTCTCAAAACGGAGACCATGTTATTTGACTTGTTTGAAATCGAAAAAACGGCTTAAAAAACTTAAATATCATGTCGCACTGGACACCCTGCAAGCTTTCAGTAAGTTGAAATCGAGAGGAAAAAACACAAGCTACGCTTTAGTTCTTTCACACTTCGTGAAGTGGTTGAAACAATTACAGAAATTTCGTATTTTTGCCTATTGCTCCAGTTTTCTCAAATCGGGTTAATTATAGCAAAAAACGTTTCACTGATAAATTGTTATAGAATTTTAACGCTCTGTAAGGGAATGTATTTTTAATTGGAAATTCGAAGTTGAGATTTCGATAAACAAGTCAGTCTTTTTCTGCTTACTTGTTTTTCTTCAGTCTTTTCCAACTGTCTGTTGGCAAAGTTTAGTTTTTCCAACCTTGCTATTCAACTTTTGTCACATTAGACTTGATTTCTTTTCAAGGCAACTAGAGGAAACTTCAAAAATGAATTCAACATTTTTTTCTGGTTTCATTAATACTTCCACCAATCTTGTTCCCAGTCTCAGTTGAGAATTTTTGTTATTTTATTGCTATGTTTGATTGAATTATACTTAGATTTTTTTCCAGATAATGTGGCGCTCAGGTACAGAACGTGCCCAGCAATCATATAATTGGTGGTTTAAATTGCACGAGCGCTTGCAAGTATTCAGCTTAAATAGTTGTTGAGACTCTTTACCCCCCCCCCCCACCAAAATTTTAATCACATTGTTCGATTGGTATGAAAATTGACATACGGACTAATTAGGCCAGTAAAAACATATTTGGTCTTCATACCTAACCTTTTAAAAGCGCAAGCCCTCGTTACGCCTTAACATTGATGCTTACACGAGGTGGGGAAAAGGTAAAAGAGGCGGCGCTGGTTATATGCGTTCTTGTCAACCTAAATAATTAACCTTCGAGTTAGGGCTCCGGCTGATTGACTAAAAAACATTTTCGCCCTTCAAATCGAATGCAGTCCACATAAAAATCAAGAGTGATTTTTGTGTACCATTAGAATTAATATGAAATGCGGGTTTCAAAAATTCTGGAAAAGTGATAGTTCATGAAATCAAAAAATGTATATTTTGTTGCCTGAACGCCTTAGTTTTTAAACAACACTATCGGCTTTGTTTTGAGATTTCAGGTGTTTTCAGTTGGCACAAGGTATTTTAGTAAGTATGAAACCCAAGAACAAATCAGCACTTTTAATGGTGAGCATCTTCTCTTCATTATTTTTTGAAGTTTTCTATTGATCGGTAGTTTTCCCCATTTTAAAGGAAAGCTAAAGAAAGTTAATCATTTCAACTGCAAAGTAAACTGACTTAATTGCCAAAAGTCAAAAACTGTTAATGGGATGAAACTTCATATTTGGGATGAAAAATTGAAATTCAATGTTTAATACGTAAAATTAATAGTGAAAAGGAGGGATTTATTAAGTAGGTGTAAATGGGGTAGGGGTAAGGATCTTGTTACGTAGATAGAGGCCTTAAATTGATTCACTCTTGTTTAGGCCACGATGTCTACTGTCAACGATAACTTCACTAGAAGCTTGGTCGAGAAATCCGGGAAAAAAACAGTTGCGACGTGATGAGTAGCGGAGAGGCTAATTATGAAAATATATGGAATCTAACAGAAAAGCAACAATAAAACTGTGATTGAAACAGTCAATTTGGTTTTATGAAAATAAAGTTTGTGCACAAGACAATAGAAGCTTTTTGTCTGAATTTTTATTTTTCATTTAATTAGATTTCAAGTAAAAAGCAGCAAAAAAATTAAGAAGTATCATGGGGCTTGAATAATTTATCCTACCATGGTCACAAAGTTTCACATGCAAGAGCAAAACTAACTCTGGAAAATTGTACTTCTGAGTTTGAGTCAATTATCTAGTATTTTTCTTAGTCAAAAATGTTTTCTGTTCTCATTTATTCGTTCTTTTTTGGTACTTGTTTTTTGGTAAGTTTTAATGGCAAAATAAATATTCACTTGGTTTGGTAGTCTGGTTTTGGAGAAGGAAAAGTCTTCAGCTGTGAAAGTTCAGCTATGTCACGCCTAATTTTCTGCTTGGGTGGTTTGGCTTTTGATATCTTTCGAAGTTTCTTTTTTTCAATTAGAAAATCCAAGGAACATTACGATAAAAGAAGAAGTAGCCCAAGAAATAAGCTTGATTATCAGTTTCAAAGCTTGAGTTTTGTCAAAAAACGTCAAGCATAAATGGTTATTTCAGTTCGAAGGGCTATAGAGTGGTATATTATTTTTGTGTATAAAATTATAATTTTTTGAACGAAACTAGTGGTTCAATAATATATTTTTTCACTTAGCTCACTGTTTTTTTAATGGATGCATTTATTGCTACGTTCATTTTGGGTGCTGTTTATGTGAAGTGTTAACGCAGCTTTTGTCTCAATGGTTTCCGACATAAGCGGCGAATTTAGGGGAGGGGGTGGGGGTCAGACGCCCACCTCCCCCCTCAGGGATTCGACCCCCTCACCAAACAAAGGTTACTCTATTTGATATTATTCTTTGACATCTATTTTTAGCCAACGCGCTCTTTTTGTTCGAAATTTTCCAAAAAAAAACCTAAAACGCTTTTTTTAAAAAAAAAAGTTCACAAAAAAAACCGAAAAACGCATATTTGGCATGTTTTTTTATTCACAAAATTGCGTGCGGTCTTCATTGTGATTTAGAAGAGCTCGAATAAATCATTTCGGTCGAACTTAAAATAGGTCGACAAAATTTAAGTAAAAAATTTGAAAACCGCCCCCACCCCCTTGAGAAATTCCTAGATTAACCCCTGGTTTGCCATGTTTTCTAGAGAAGCGTGCAAGAAAGTTAACAAATATTCTTTTGAGTTTTTATCGAATACTTTTTGTCAAAAATAAAACTAGTGGAAACTTCCATTGAAGTTTTCTGTGATAACTTTGGGTTTGTATAAGTCTTCGCTCGTTAGAAATTTGAAAAAAGTTTCAGTAAAGTCAGTCTGCTTGTGCATGTAGGTCAACAAGAAGAGAAAAGATCAGGCGAAAGGGTAATCTTAATGTTACAGAGGCAAAAAACAAAAAAAAACTTAATGAGCGCTGGGAAACCAAAAAAAAATGTTTTCTCGAAGTTAATTCAAAAATTGAGTTCATCGAAAAAAAAAAACGTTTAAGTTGCCTCAAAACGGGCGGATTTAGAGGGAGCGCTCACCCCACTCCTCGGGGATTCGACCCTCTCACCAACCAAAGTGTCCCCTTTTAGTATTATTTTACGACATCCTGTTTCGTCCGACCAATTTCACGAGTTTTCTGAATGCGATTGTGGTAAAAATATAGAAATTTTGAAAGGGAGCACGCGCCGAAAAAGGCAATTTTTTGTCAAAGTTTTCCAAAAAGGGCGTAAAAATGCCTTTTAGGCTGTTTTTGTCGAAACCTGGCCTGCGGCGCACAAACTGAAGGTCAAACTTGGGTCTGTATAGTGTTTTGGGAGAGCTCGGAAGATCAATCCAGTCGGATTAAAAAAGTAATAAAAAATTGAGATTTTTTTAATGAAAATCCGCCGCCCCTCGAGAAAATCATAAATCCTCCTCTAATATTATACAAGTTCAGGATTAAAAACAATTTCATAAACATCCATACCTTAAATATCTATTATTTAAATTAAAATGTTTTGATCTACGATTTTCATTTTACTTCACCGAAATAATTCAATGTTCCAAAGTTTAACGCTTGCGATTAACAAGGGTTATCAAATTGGAATATAGACTTATTTTGGGTTAAAAAATGTTTAACATTATCACTTGAATCACATGTATCTTAGTCCATAATGCATTCAAACTTCTTCGCGTGTCAGGCACTTGGCCTGGAGGTGAAGTATACGCCTGGGACGGCAAAGGTGGGTTCGAATCTGACCAGGAACCGTTTTTTTTTTCAAACTAGAGTTATTCCTTTCCAAAAAAATGTCGGCCTATATCGTGTCTGCTTTTGTTTTGCGGGCTTAATTGCCATATCGTAGAGTTCGTAGAATTGATTTTGAGGACATGATTTTCAATGTAGCTGCTTACAGTGTTTTGAATTACTCCTGCAATTTTTTATTTTATTAGACTTGACTTGTATATTTTGCGGTTTTTTCGCTTAAAAACTTTATTCGGCATAAATGATTTCGGTTTACATTTTATCGGATTAGTGATTTTATTTGTTGTCATTTCAAAGAAAACATAATTTTAATGCTTTATTCCGGATCGCACTAAGTGCTTAAATTCATAAATTAGAACTTAGAGTTCAAAGTTTTTCATAGCAACAGTTATGTTTTCGGTTCTACTGTTTCGTCGGCTTAGTTGCCGGATATTAATATTTTGTTAATGTTTATTAATTGCCGTCGATTGTGTTTCTGGGCGTATTTTCTGCAAATAGAACTTGATTCCAGACAACATTTCGAACTTTTTAATTTGAAGTGTTTTTTTTCTACTTATGTTGCGGACTTAGTGGGTTTTTGTTTCCTGTCTGCTAGCTTGTAAGTCCATTTTAATTTTGCATCGCAAGTGGTGCGAAGCTCCGCTTCTGTGTTAGCAAAATGCGTACCGCAAAACGCATTCTGGAACGTCAAAATGAGCAAAACGCGTTCGAGAACGTCAATATGAAAGCAATGAACAGAGAACAAAACTTTTATTCGATGGGTTGCCATTCTAATACGAAATAATAAATTGATTATACCCAAATTTGATACACAAAAGAGATCCGACAGTTTCAACTTTAGTTGTCTTAATGATGATCAGGTCTATTAATCGCTTCTTTTATTTATTGTGCTTTGTAGTTTGGTCAATTTTTCTTAAAGAAAACGAGGTGCAGAACGCGTTTTTCTGGGTAAGTTTTTTGCAGGTTCTTTCTTTCTCGTGTCGGACGCCAGTTTAAGTAAATCTTCTGAAAATTTTGCATATGAAAAAGGAATCTAGCAAACTATCTCCTCGCATTTTTTGGGTCAACCAAATTGATTTTTCAAGCTCTCCCAAATCACGATAAAGAGCCTATTTTAACAAATTTTTTGTGCCGCTGGCAAGTTTTTGAAAAGCAATCAAAAATGTTGGTTTCAAATACATTCTATTAGCGCCTTTAGAAAAAATCAGGATCGGTCAGCAAAAATTATGTCCTAAAATAGCACCAAAGGAGACTATTAGGTGATCAAGGGTTCGGATTCCTGAAGGTTGGATTTCCAATAAATCCTCCCCTAAATCCGCTACTGTTTGAAACAATAGGGGGAGATGTTGAGAGAGAGAGAGAGAGTGAGAGTAGTTAGCAAGGTTCCACAAAAGAGTGCAATGTTAATTCATATTTGAGCTGCCAGTATTTTATGTTTTTACGCATTCTTATTCAAATCGTAAGTCTAATTCGAATCAGCTGCGCTTGCAAAGTCTAAACAAAGTTTTGGTTCAATTTTATTTTTTACTACAATTTACGTTCAATACCTTTCGGTTCAACATAAAAACTGCAAAAGTTAGTCAGCCGAACAGTTCAATTTTCTATCAGCTTCTCACATGTTGATCATCTGATCTGCATGAATTGTTTTAATTATTTGGTCGATTGCGTTATTGGAGTTCAAAGGTAGGCGTAACTTAAGTTTTCAACATAGATGAAGCTTGAAAATCAAAAATTTATGTCTAAGGTTTCAGTTTCTGGGCATCAAAAATTAAAACTTGTGCAAGAACTGCACATCAAAAAATTTTAATAAAAAGAAAAAACCAAAAATCTAAACACAAAATTGCGTTGATAGATAACTTGTTGTCCTGTCAACTTGATTTGTTCAGCAAAATGCCTTATTCGATTGTTACTCTAACCCAACACGCGGCTAATAAGCTCACAAAACCAGTGGAGTTATCATACCGCGAACTCAAAGACGAGTTCCAAGGCACAGGGCAGCTGTTCGAAGACCCAGCATTTGACGCTTCCTATTACTCGTGCTTCGGCTCCAGTCCAAACGAAGACTACAATCTAGGGATCAATCAAATTGTCTCTCCAAGTAATAATCAGACTAGGCGTGGATAAAAACGGTCAGTGCTTGAACTGTGCTAATAGAAGAAAAAACAGTTATTGTTAATTTTAGCTGAAACACTTCCGAATTATCCAAATGACAAATTCAAGTGAAGGTTCAAAATAACTATGAGTAAAATGAGTGTTTTTTTTTAAGACTAATTCATCTTACACCAAGAGTGTTTACACAACATTTACATAAATTTGTGGATTAACGAATCTTAACATTGCACTTAGCAATTGTATTGCAACCGGGCACTAGACTTTTTTCTACTTAACAACTTTGTTCACATGACTCATCTCCAGGTGGTACCTTGATCTGTAACGAATTCAAATTATTTAACATCTCAGGCACAATTAGCCTGGAGGTAACGAACAATCCTGGGACGGCACTGATTTTTCCCCCAAATTTGGCAGGGACCTGTTTTTAGGAGTAATGAACGTAGTGAGTACTCTTATATAGGTCTCGGTGATTCTTTTATTTTTTTTTTTAGAAAAAAGTCTTGAAATTTGTTCACGCTCAATTTTGATTTTTCGCGGTTTGACTTTTGATTTCGTTTTTGAGTTCACTGCATTTCCGTTTTTAGGAGGAAGGCAAACTCCACTACTTAAGCGCAAAAGTGTATAGGTCACTAAAAACGTGATCGTCTCTTAATTTCGAAAATGGAAATTAATTATCCGATATCTCAGAAAATAAAAGTTTTACCTATTGATCCAGCGCTCTTATATTGGTAAATTTTTTCAAAAAAAAACGCCAATAATAAATTGTTTGTGAAATTCAAAGGGCTTGAAGGGCATATATTTTTACTTGAAAATTCGATAGTTGAAGTTTTTTCAAAAAATAGGTCAGCGTTTTTTATCTGTTTCCTTGCGTTCATTACACTAGACAGCCGCGTAGTGTAAATTTTCTTTTTTCAAACCTAACTCGCAAAAAAAGTTTTCATTAAAAGTGTTCACTCATTTGGTAGTACTTTTGCCATCAGCACGATCTGTAACGTGGAAATTTCATAGCATCTGTTCTCTGCTTTGTTTGTGGCTAGTGTTTGTGACTTATTAAACGTCCGTGGCTGAGTGGTTAGTACGTGGGTTCTCTAGGTCGCAGATCGAATCCGAGACGTAGCCGAAGTTTTAGTAATTTGAGGCTTATTTATACTTTAATTTATTGCTTTTTATAGAACTGCGCTTTTTTGTCGTGTTCCTGCTAGTGCTTGCTGGCTTTATTTTTTCAAGCTGGAAACTTTCTGTTTCAAATAAAGTTGCCATTCTATTGTTTGTCTGCTTATTTTTTGCCGGCTTAGTGGCCACATCTTAGAATTTTTTTTGCTGTTCACAATTTTGATTGTAGTTGCTCTTAGTGTTCTGATTAATTGCAAATAGTTTTTTTACCTTGATTTCGTGTTTTCATTTTTTTGCTTAGCTTAAAAATTTAATTCAGCCCAATTTTTTGGACTATTTTTTATTGGCTCAGTGAATTAATTTGGGGAGGAAATCAAGAAAAACACGATTTCAAGAATATCAAGGAAAAACGTCTCTAGGAAAACACGGTTTTTATGCTTTCCTCTGGATTGCAAAAAATGCTTAAAGTCTTGGAATAGAATTTTTAATTCAAAAATTTTCATGAAATCAATTTTGTTTTCGGTTCTACTGGAATTTACCCAAGCTTTGTTGACTCAGTTGCTGCTCAATAATTGTTTTTGAGTTTTCATTAGACGCTATCGATTGTGTTTCTGGGCGTATTTTCCGCAAATAGAACATCCTTCGAGACAACATTTTGAGATATTCCAGAGAACAATTTTTTTGGACCTAGTATTATTGCAAGTGGTGCGTAGCTCCGCTTCGCCTTTGTGTGATATTTTGTTACCTACAAATAAATTTTCCAAATTATGTCAAGAAAACATTTGATTGATCCCTTCCAATCTAGAGTGGTTGAGACCGCCTGAATTGCTAGAGAGATACCACAGCAGACATGGCAGTGATGCCAGAATGTTCGTGGACGGGGCCAGTAAGTTCGATCTGGTCCAGGGGGAGTTGGGAGACTGTTGGCTGGTGGCGGCTGTCGCGTGTCTCACCACAAGAGCAGGTTTGTCATAAGGGCGATTAGAAGGTTATTTAGCACAACAAACTTAAGTTGTCAGAGTGCAATTTAACGGTTTTTATAGAAATGGAAAATTTTGCCGGGATGCAGGATAAACTGGGTTTCAACTGTCAATTACCTTGTACCTATAAAATCAATGGTTGTCTAGAATCAGGGGCGGACTTAGGGGGGAGGTGGACGCCCCCTCCCCCCTCAGGGATTCGACCCCCTGCCGACCCAAAGGGTCCCCCCTTTGTACTATTTTGAGATATCCATATTTGGTGATGGACCCTAAAAATTGTCTAAAGGCGCCTTTGGCGCCAAAATATGCTAATTTTGAGGGGGATATACTATTTTTTTTAGAAAATTTTCTAAAAAGTGCTTAAAAACGCCTTTTTTGGCCTGTTTTTGAAATTTTCGCCTGCGGTGCAGAAAATTTTGCCAAAACAGGGTCTCCTTAGTCGACAAAATTTTTGAAAATCCGCCCCCCCCCCTCGAGAAAATCTTAGATCCGCCCCTGTCTAGAATATCCCGTGAAACACTACAGGAGGAAACACTTCGATGTAGATTTTTGTGATAACTTCCCAAATGGCATAACTACCAAATAGCATAAAAACAAGTTAATTCCCAAACGGCATAAACAATTTCAATAAATATGTGAAAGTTTTGAGGCGTGAAAAAGTAAGATATTTCCAGACAATTTTCACGCCTTATTTTGTTCACTTGTCAACGAAATATTATTCACTCATCAACATTTAATTCAAGAACAACTATTAGATTATTAAATAATGAGCCAAGTTGAAGTTTTCAAAAAGGGACGGGGTTGCAATTTGTGTTATGACGGATATTTTTATTGATAAAATCGAAGCTGCAACGAAAATTTTTTTTGGCTTTGTACTGAAACTGAATGCGGCTCCAGGCTCACTTCAAACATTGAAAAGGATACCTTGTTAACTCATCCAAATTCTCATGCCCATATGCCCGACTATAACTGCTATCAAGATCTCACTTTAAAAACTAAATTTCTTTCGGATTTTTCCCAAAACCCACTCGAGTCAGTTGCCCAAAGTTGCGAAAAAGTTTTAGCCAGAAACAGTGACACAAGTTTCTCTTCATTAAGAAATGTAAAATTGACAGTTTATCGCCAACGATACACAATGATGCCGAAAATTCCTAGTTAAGAATTCGAGAAGAATGGGCAGAAACGCGGGATGCAAAAAAAAGTTTTTTTTTTATATCAACAGAGAGCGGAGTATTGTCATTTTTTCAAGAGAATGGCAATTGAAAGTGATTTCGAAATCTAGAATTATTCTTTCTGATTGAACCCTTAAACCGTTCCCGAAATTTTTTAACCAAGCTTACGTTATTTTTGGAGTATTTGGAGAATCAAAAATTCCCTTGGTTTAGTGTTCGCTTCAAAATAAAAAGACAGGAATATATCGACGAATGCTACAAATAAAATCAAGAAAACTTTAGAGAATGGACCTGCAACTAAAAATCAAAGAAATTATCTGCGACTTGGAGCTTGGATTCAAGGTGAGATACAACATTTCTGTAACTTCTAAGCAGACACTTAATCAGTTTTTGAGACCATTCTGGGACGTCCACCAGTAATGGGACTACCAGTAATTGGAATACCACCATGGGACTTTCATTAGTAAATTCTATGGACAGGCACTCTTCACATCGGCACCAACTTGACCGACATCCCCTAGAAACGTCTCAGAGATGATCCCTATGATGGTCTCAAAAACCATCTACGACCCCTAGGAGCAGAGTTTCGAAATTCTTGTGTTTCAGGCAGCAGTAGAAACAGTCTTCCCAACAGTCAGACTTCGAGGATACTATTTTCATTTCTCCAAAACAATTTTGTCAAAATTTAAAGATTTGGTAATGTTTACACCTTACAAAAATGATTGAAGATTAAAACGATTTGTTCGAAAGTTCATTGTCATAGGTTTTCTACCAGTGTTTCATGTCCGCAAAAAATTTCTTGAGGTACTTCAAGAAAGATTGACAAGATTACTGGTTTCCCGATTTACAAATCTTAGTTTCTTTTTAAACTATTTTGAGGCAACTTGATTATATCAATTTCCACCAAATATCTACAACGTTTATGCCAGGTTATGTCAATTTCCACCAAATTATCTACAACGTTTTAAAAAAAAAGAAAACTAAACGCAATGATTTGCAACGTGAAACAGAGATTCGCAACCCAATCGCTTGATATTGATGAATATTGAGATAGTATTTCAGAAATCTGCCAAAACTGGTAGAAATTAAAGTTCAATTGATTTCTTTCTTTCTGTTAATTAATCCGGTTACATTATTTACAAATTATTTTAAATCCTACTGTAACTTTTCAAAAGTTAGATTATTTATGCCATTTGGGAACTTAACAAATTTCATGCCATTTGTTAATGTTTTTGAAATTTATGCCATTTGGGTTTTTTTTTTAATTTATGCCATTTGGGAATTATGCCATTTGAGACATAATCGATTTTTTTATGCCCTTTGCCTGACTATTTGAATTTTTTTTTCAGGTCTGAAATATACTTGTAAAAAATATGAACACATAGAATTTTTTTCAGGTCTGGAAAAAAAAGAACATTTAAATTAAGTAACTTTTCATTTAGCCTGGATTTTTTTGCGTCATGTTTTTGAGGCCTGTCAAAATTGAGTGAAATCGTTCCCCCCTCTCCCGTCTCTCTACCTCAAGTAGGCTTCAGTTGATGGCGTAACGAGAAGTTTGCAAGGTAAGGAATGATAACAAAATGTGTTTGGAATAATCGAATTACTCTGTACCAATTTTGATATCGGATATTTTGAGCATTGTTTCTTGAGTAAAATATGCAGTAGGGGTATGTGGGAAGATAAGTAGCCGATTTATTCATTGATTAGGCATGCTAGACCAAGTGATCCCGTTCTTTGCCGAGTTCTGCTCCGAAGACTACTTCGGCTGTTTCGCCTTCTCTCTCTGTGTAGACGGACAGTGGAAAGAAGTGGTAGTGGATGACAGACTGCCCTCTAGAAATGGACACCTGCTGTACACTTCTTCCAGCGAGAAGACAGAGTTCTGGAGCGCAATTCTGGAAAAAGCGGTGGCTAAGGTATGGGTGGCTTGAAACTTTGATCACACAAGCAAAATGGATTCCTGTTCTATTAGTTTTTTTTTTCACCGCAAGCATCAAGTTTGAATCAAAGCTTATCACAAAAAGGGCGTAGGAAACAAAGGTAGCGTCATAGAGTAGATAGTGTTGGTTTGAAAAATTTTGAGGAAGAACGTAAGCAATTTTCTTCACATCCGTAAAATTGGAATGAAAAATGAGTATTCAGAGATTGCACCCCAGTTTGATCAATGATAGAATCATTTTCAAACAGCGGTAAATCACATGGGTTTTTGTCATGATTAACACATGCCATGTCCTTTCCATGCTTAGATATTTGGAAGCTACAACAGCCTCACAGCTGGATCAATTGAGGAAGGACTCTCTATGCTCTCCGGAGGCATCACCGAGAAACTGGGCCTAGATCCAAATAGCAGTCCAGAGGAGATAGACTTCAAGGCCAAGAAGATGCGCAATTGTCTGGCCAGAGGGTCTCTATTAGGATGCTCTATTCCCACCAGTGAGAAGCGATTCAAAAAGTTCGGACCAAGAGAGAACTATCTCCCTCTTGAGTCAATTTCAGAAGAGATTGTTCAATTGGTGAAAAAAGGCGGCATTTTTCACATGGATCAAAACTTTTCAAACGATTTTATAAATAATCATAAGATTTTTTTTTTGAAAATGTGTATGTGTTTTTCTTGTCAGCATTCTGTTGAGAATGCGGAAAAACAAGTGCAGGCATTGCAATTACGCGATAATTATTTAACGGTGGTCAATGTGAAACCGTGAGCTTGCAGAATTACATTTTTTCAAACACTACTGTATATGTTAATTGTATACATAAACATTTAGAAGTTTTCCATTCGATCTTTTAAAGTAGTTTTGCTCCGAAGTAAAATTTGCGTCTATTTGATTACTTTCCAGGTGAAGACGAGGGCTTTGAGGTAGCCTGTGACAATGGACTTTTGAAAGGCCATGCATACAGTGTCACTGGGCTACACGAGGTGGTAATCGAGAGAAGCGAAGATGATAGCGAAAATGGAGTGACCAAGAGGTGTGTAAAACCATGTTTGGTAGTATTTAAATATTCAAACCTATAAATAGTTTGTACGGTATAAATATTTATCAGCGTCTAACTAAAAAAGACACCCATACCATAGTTTACACTTGTCGCGTTGCACTTGGATGAATTATGAATGCCAATGAACGAAGTGAAGACTCTAATATAGTTTTTTTTTCAGGAAAAGTCTAAAATGTTGTTCAGGCTCAAACTTTATTTTTTCGCATTTTTAGTTTTGATTTTTTCTTAGTTTTGGTAGATTTTTCAAAGCTTCAATATTTTTTCTTCATTTAAGCAGCTTTAACTATCATTGAAAGTCGTTATCTAGTCTGTAAATAAACGAAAACTGATTTTGTTTAATTGTGCTTATTTATTTGATACTTTTATTCGCTTAAGATTAGCCGGCTCCTGCGTTTTCGATTTGGTTGCCTCATGTTGTGTCAGTTAAATTGAAAAAATAAATTGTTTTCCTTTGATATTTTTCAGAGATTAGAGCCTAAAACTTTGAATATCAAATTTTACAGCTGCAAGTTTTCTTTGAGATCGTTTTTTTGGCCAACTGGTGTCTACCCAATTTTTTTTGTCTTAGTTCCCACTCGATAAAGGGTTTTGAATGGTTATACAACGGTGATACTTGTGTTTGTTGGCATTTTTTTCGTAAATTGAAGATCATTTTAGCAATTTTCTAGAGTTTGTAGATGGATTTTTTTTGAATTTCTTTGACTCAGTTGCTTCGTCCAGTTTTCTGTCTGCTAATTTACAATGCTATGTTTGCGCTGTATTGCTTCATTTCGCCTCTGTTTTTGTAAGTTTGTGATCTGTGATTTTGTAATTCTTTTCTTCAGTTTTTTGAGATTTTTGTATTGTGGTTTTTTTTCAATTGTTGAGGTTTTTTGCTGAAAAGGTTTGTTCGGCTTTAATATATCGGCAAATTTGATACCAGCTTAGTCACCTTATAATAATATAATGGTCGTTTAGCAAAAACAACTTAACAGTTTTTTTTTTGTTTTCCAGTAGCGGGGAAACCGTCGAAGCCTAGTTTCAATCCCACTTATTGGCCTCTGCATAATTTAAAAATTTTGATTTGCTCGCAATTTGTTCCAAGCTTTGCTTTTTCTCTGGAATAAGTTACTGAAATATAGGTTTACTTGTCTCATTTCTAGGTTATCACTACAATGCCATGACTTAAGATTGTGCCCCAGTTAAACGTCAATTAGGGACACAAAAAGCTCCAACACAATCCAATGATTAGATAGTTAAATTTCCTTTCAAAAAATTAATTCTGATATTTTTTTTATCTGACCTTGTAACTTTTTCTCAACTTAACTTTTCTTAACTTTTTATAAGTTTTTCTCACCTGAATTTTGTTCCTACTTTGATTGCATCTCAAAAGGTTTTTGTTTTCTTTTGTGAGCAATGTGAGAAGGAGTTGACGGTAATCATGTCGGGATGCACCGTTGCTGAGAAGCTAAATTTATTGAATTTTGCGAGCAGTTCAAATGTTCACTCCAGCGCCCAAAAGAAAGTAACTGAATTTCAGAGTTGACTGATGCTCTGCCTCAGAAGAACTGTTAGCTCTAGATATCTTCTAGAGGTTCTCCGATGTTTTAAAATCACTCAGTTTTATCAGTAGTTAAAGGACTCAGCTTGAAACTAATGAAATGTTTCCTTTCGAGTGCAGTTAATGGATGAATCTCACTAACTGATTCCCTCGTCTCTTTCGTAACCTAAAAGTTCGAGGGTGACATCGATTTAAATTAGGAGGTGAGGTCTTTCTTTCAAAAACTGGAGGTGAGGTCTTTCTTTCAAAAAAGTTGGGTTTTTGTTCTCTGTGTAATGCTGATTTACTACCGCAGCTAAGTCATACTTAACTGTTTTTTTTTTCGTTTTTATTGTAGATATTTTAAACTCACTGCTCTAAGTTTTTCTCACTGCTCTAAGTTTGGTTGAGTTGGTTAAGTTTTGTGTTCGATTGACAGACTTCGTGGCATTTTTGGTTTTTATAAGTATTTTCTTAACAATCTGGTTTTATTTGATTTTGCGCTGGAAGTTCATGGATTTTTATTGTATTTGTAGCATATGATTTTCAATTAATGGAAAGTATTACGCATTCGCCATTCTCAACAACGGAAAGCCAAATTTCTAATGATTGGACTGCAGATAATCAATTCAGGCTAACTTTTAAGACATAATTTTGGGGTTTTAGTGAGCAAAATTTGAGCATAATTTTTAAGCCTTAAAAAGATTTCACTAAATTTTTGGATTTGTTTTACCCCTTAGTGGAAGCGGTCAGGTGAAATAATCTGGCTGAGAAATCTTTCCAATTTGAGTTTAGGCTGGGTACTTGATTCAAATTATATATTACAGCGCCAAAATTTATCACTTTGCACTCATCATTGATTGCGGGGAGAGTTCTCTAAAAAAAATGAAAATAAACCTTCAAATTTTCAATATTTTTATTGCAACTTTTTATTCATTCATTTTGCCAAAACTTACAGCAGACTAAATAAGGGGCAGTCGGCCTATTCAGTTACGAGGAGTCTTATATTTTGAAAAATTCGAGTGTTGAAATATTTTCCTGAGTACCAGTCATTTTTTTGGTCTTGAGTTCATTGACACTTTTCCAACTGTCAGTTTGCTATGTTTCAGTTTATTTTATTTGCTTTTTTGTATCGCAAGATCTTGGTTCAAAGTCATAACATGCTTGGAAGAATTACTATAACCTAAATGCTCGAACGGTGAAACAACTTTGTATCTAGTTGCTTCGTTGAATTGTGGCATACTTGCCCTGTTTGCCCTCCTAGATTGATTCGGATCCGGAACCCGTGGGGTGAGAAGGAGTGGACTGGGAGGTGGAGTGATGACAGCACCGAGTGGGACAAACTCAACCCACGAGTGAGGGATAAACTACATGTAACCAACGATGGTAAGAACATCCTACCAAACGGTCTACACACATTTCGCCCCTATGTCTCACACAAAGTCTCAATTATTTGAGACAGAATGTGTGAGGGATAAAATATGCCCCATTCGGAAAACACATTTTAAACCGTTTGTTGGAATTAAACCAAACTTTGTGATTTTTCTCATTATCCCCCTCAGGCTCCAATTTCTTAAGCCCCAGCACAGAATGATTTTTTTTCTGAGGGGCTATAAAATACTGGGGTCTAATGTGGAAAAGAGCCGTAATTTGTGTGGAGCCGCATTTTGTTTGTACCAGCGCTAACAATTTTATTCCAATACAGCGTCGACGATCGCGTAACCAACTCGGCCATATTTTGGCTCGGTATAGATTGATCATTTCAATTTCGGACGTTACTTGTTTCAGACGGTGAGTTCTACATGGAGTTTGCTGACTTCGGCCGCACCTTCACGTACGTGTCGATGTGTCACTTCCAGTTCCAGGAGGGGGACGATGCCAATGTGAATGAGAGCAACTGGAACATACAGAGGCTGGATGGACACTGGAATTTGGCGACGGCAGGGGGCATCAAAGGGAAGAGCTTCGAGCATAATCAACAGTATCTTATCAAAGTCCCAGTTAGTGAGCGTTCGTATTTTTGTTTACAACTTGAGAGCGAACAAGATCATATTAGATGTAGTTTCAACTTATTGGGTCGTTTTTTTTTCAGAAAAATAACTTTAAAATGTTAACGCTTACTTTTATATTTTTTGGAGGTCTGAATCTCGATCTCTATTCAAATTCGTATTTGATATTACCAGATCAATCCTCGAAGAGCAAAATTCTCGAATGGCTGGAAGTTGTTGAAAATACGGCAGCGAGAACTTCTTTCAACAGAAAAACTTATTTCGTTTTACTTACGCGTAAGCCCCAAATTATTCCAGCTCTGAAATCATTCCATTGAGGCAAAGTATTTAGTCCAGTAAAACACTAGACGACAGGGGCGGATTTAGGGGGGGGGGGGCGGGGGGGCGGACGCCCCCCCCCCCCCCCTCAGGGATTCGACCCCCTGCCGACCCAAAGGGTCCCCCCTTTGATACTTTTTCAGAAATCCATTTTTGGCGGACCGACCCTAAAATTTTTCTAAAGGCGCCTTCGGCGCCAATATATACTAACTTTGAGGGGGAGCGCGCGCCAAAAAAAACGCAATTTTTTTGTCAAAATTTTTCAAAAAGTGCCCAAAAACGGTTTTTTTTGACTGTTTTTTCAAAAATTTGCCTGCGGCGCAGAAAATTTTGCCAAAATAGGCGCAAAACAGTGCTTTGGGAGAGCTCAAAAAATCAATTTGGTCGACCTAAAAAAAAAAAGGTCGTCAAAATTTTGGAAAATTTTTCGAAAATCCACCCTTCCCTCGAGAAAATCCTAGATCCGCCCCTGCTAGACGAGATACACATCAGCTTGTTTTTTAGATTGCATGTGGGGCAAACATTTTGAAAAAAGAAACTAAAGTTTTCATCATTTTTGCAATAGAAAATTTTATCAAACACTAGCAGCTCGCTGTGCTGGCAAAAAAATTTTTGCTGTATTTTTTAGCGAAATTCAAATAGCGCGAGTGACTGAATGTTTTTTTCCTTATTTCTGTTTCCGTGTTTTCTGTTGGAACCGTGAAGATCATATTTTTTGGACGAAGTCTCCGCTGAAAGAAGTAGTTCTGTTGCTTGGACGGTTATAATTTGCTTACTAGTGTCCTGTAGTACTTTTATTAAAGAGAGCCTAGCCTATTCTTTTCCATTTAACTTTCACTTAACTTATTAAAAACTTAACAGTTGATACTTCATACTTTTTTTAGTCTTTGGCTTCAGGACACGAGAATGAGCACTTTCGAAGATAATTTCCGTGCTCATCTATAAAACTACAAAATCTTCAAAATTTCAGTATAAAAGAATAACTTTCAATGTGAAATGATTTTAATTTCTAGTCCATATCGTGCACATGACAGATGTTTATTATAAAACAAAAGATCAATTATTTTGATTCAGCCTATTAAGTTGAGTAGCGTAACAAGGAAGTCTTTACACTCAAGAGAATATTATTAGCATAGTTTTTGGTCAAAACATTTTTTTAGCTCTGAAAGGACACTGACACTTGGTTTTTAAAATATTTCTGTAATATTTTTTGTGGATATGAAGTGCAATTTTACCTCCGTGATCAGAATTCATAAACAATTTTTTATTTCTTAAAAAAATCAAATTTTTTGTCTTTTGACTCAATTCTCTCAAATTGTTTTATTTTGATCAAAAAAACTTGAGATCTCAACTGATTCTTGAAAGATCGAAAAACTTCCAGGTGATGAACTTTTTTTGAATTCGAAAATCGATAAAAATGAAAATGAACCGTATTGTTTTCCGTTATTTTTTGAGCTCATTAAGATTTTTTCAACTTCTATAATGACGGCTTTTATAAATGTGTGTGTGCGCTCTGTGGAATTAACGAGCCGATATTTGCATCTACACTTAAAGTAAACTTAAATCGTAAATTGTTTTCTTTGTGTTTCAGGAAATGGTGGACGATGACGAGTGCTCCGTGGTGTTTTCTTTATTACAGATGAACACTAGACAGGAGGAAGACAGAAAACACTGCATAGGTCTAGTCCTATTCGAGGTTAATTTAGAGATATTACAAATATGATACTCTGATTAGTTCCATATTACATATAACTCTAAGTGCGCTCGTCTGTAATCAGATCTTTTTGTTCCCATTGAAAATGGGGAGGAACTAACTGAAATTGGGGAGGAGCTTTGTATTCGGGTGTGTTTTAGTTTTTTTTGTGTTTTTCACGCAAAGTCAGGAACCAAAAAATATCACCGGAATGGGTTGAGTGATATATCATATTAAAGCATTTCAGTCGTTATTTGAACGACGTTAAAAATTTTCAAAGAATTTTTCCCAGTGTTGAGGAAAGCTTGTTTGAACTTTTTGTTTTTGGTCTAATTTCGAGCGAATAAGGTGATTGAGCAAGCTTATTTTGTTGTTTATCCAAAAGCATTTACCGCAGATAATCATCATAATGGTCGGATTGATATACCATATTCAGCGCTGATTGAAACGACGGTAAAAGTTTCAAAAAGTTGTCCCAGTGTCGAGAAAAACCGGTTTGAAATTTTTGAGGTTTAGTCTAATTTCGAGCAAGTTACGCAAGCGAGCTCACTTATTATAGTAGATTAAGCCATGAACCTTTTTTCGAAGGTTTTGAGTGCTATCTTGAGAATGAAAGCTTCAAAATTCTAAGTTTCAAAATTTCTAAAATAAAATTGAATTTTTTTTAAAAAAATTTCAAGTCATTTTTTGACTAAAACCATTGCTCGATTTGTCTATTTTATCGTGACTGTCGAATATGCCTAATTTCTATGTTTCCTTTTATGAAACGCCTCACAAAACCCAACTCTATTTTAAAAAAAGCTTAATAGGTATTTCTTATCAGCATGGTCGGAACATTCTGTGCTACTTGCTCAGCAACCGGCTATCCTTGTGTTTTCTGGAATTCTTAGACCGTAGCTCAATTCAGCAATTGATGAAATCATCTTAAATTGATGTGCCTTATAATGATCGTTATGAAATGAGAGCATTTTTAGCTTGAGGTGGAGATTTGTATCGTTTTCACGATCTGATGTAAATGATTGTTGACGCTTCTGTATACTACATCTGAAGTTTTCGCAGGTAACTGGAATCAACCATCCTAGAAACACCCCTTTGGGAAAAGAATTCTTCAACGATGCCGAGACCTTCCAGCGACCTGAGTTCAACAAGCGACGTGAAATTTTAATGCGAGTGCAGCTCAAACCGGGACTGTACTGCCTCATTCCCTCGACTCTAGAGCCCAAACAGTACGGGTCTTTTGTACTTAGAGCGTTCACAGAGCATCCGATTGAGATAGAGACTCTGGATTACAGACCAAGGAAGACGCTTAGGATTGACAAGATTAATATAAGGGATGAAATAAAAGCACTCATACTCGACCACAGAAATTGCGCAGATCATTGTAAATTTAATTCAGTTGTCTGAAAATATTTTCCTAGAAATATTGAAAATGAATCAGATCGAAAGGTCGAGCAAGACATGGAAAGAAAGTTTTTTCCAAAAAAGAAGAATGTTAAATATATAAGCTTCCAAAATTTATTCAATTATTAGAATCGAGCAAAATTTTATACTGATTTCATTGATATTGTGATATTTTTGATACGGTTCCAGTCTTTTAGCTTGCAAAGGAGTTTCATGAGGTGGTGGTGGGCATTTTTGATGTAGTAGGAGAGGGTATGCTGAAGGCCTTAATTATATAGTGACAATAGCTTCAAATATTGCCAGCAATGTCATGACTTGTTTAGTAGTTTTTGGAGAAAAAAAAATACTTCAGAGAACCATATGTAGATGAAAGTTTTCATTTATTTGTAACATATATATATGTTTTCATATATATGATTTACTCTTAAATCTATTTTTATTAGAACGATCGTAAATATGATTGATTAAAATAGTCAACCGAGTATGACTGATTTATGGCAGTGTTTCAACACTGAGAATGATTGCTTTAATTTCCCCTTTACCAGTGACTTTGCGACTGAGCAGGAGATCACGATTATGAACGAGTGTCTGGGCAGATTCAGTCACGTGGCCAACGAGTCCAACAAACTTTATGCTCAGAACATGGCTGATGTCTTGGAAGTGCTGGTGTCCGAGAAGTTCCTAAGACGTCAGCTCTCAAAGTTTTATATAAAACCTTTTGCATATTTTAAAACAAATATTTGTCCGAAATTTGTTTTGAAAAGTTATTATGTTTTTCGGTTCTTTTGTTTTTTTTTGTAGCGATAAAGGGAACCCTGAAAAGCCATGAAAAGCATTGAAATGTTTGTCTCCCCAAAGACAATGTTATGTTTCAAATCACTTTTTAAGCTTTCTATGTGGGTTATTGATCTAGAAATGTTTTCGGAATAGCAAATACCTGGAAGTTTTGCCTCATTTTTTTTATTTTTGAAAGAAATCTAAACCCTTGCAATAAACAAGGGTATTGCAATCGGGAACTACATTTTTTTCAAATTTTATTTTGATATAATTGCATTTTCAAAAGTTTTTTGTATATGCAAAGCGCCGCTTCGCTTGTTTTTACTTTTAAATGAAATGATGTTATTCACGCTTTCTTGGCTTTGCAGATGAAGAGTGTATTACTCTGGAGAGCTGCAGGAGTTACATATCACTGGTGTCAGATAATAACGGACCCCCTGAGTTGACCACGGAGGACTCTGCCTCATTCCTCAAACTCATTCTCTTCATCAGGGTAATGACTTGTGATGGTTTTTCAAACGAAATATCCACAAAGCGATAACAAGGATAGCCAGTTGCTGTTTTTGGAAGGTCTCTTTTGTTGTTTAGTTTTACTTTGTGAGAGAAAACTGAATAAATTATTAAACGATGAAACGACTTTCATTTCTTAGCCTCCAAATTATAACTCTGTGTATTCATTGGAGCCTTGCTCAATTAATTTTTCTTCCTACAATTAATTTTATGCAGCTCCCTGATTTTTTGGGCTAAAAAAGCCACAGAAGTAGAACTGGCGACGATGATAAATATAGATCCATGAGCAGAAGTATCGAACTCATTCACCCCATAAAAACACTAGTCTGCCACCATTGCAAAAATTTGAAAAAATTTGCAGGCATTTTGTCATAGAAACAATTTAAACAAGCATTATTCTTACTCAAGCAAAACATTGAGCCGATACCGCTATTAAATCAAAGAATTAGATAATTAGAAATATACATTTTTCCTTTGAAATTCAAATTGCAGTGGAAATTTGATAGAGGACGGAATCTTTGTGATCAGGGGTTTTTTGTTCCAATTTTCGAAGAAAGTGACGGAACATTTGTGCTCGGGTGGTTTTTTCTCTAGACAAAATTCTAGACTTTTTAACTAGCCAGTTCTTACGGAGTTTTTTTATTTGATTCGAAATGTATTGTTGTCCTGGGCTCAAACTTAAAACTACTTTTCATCTGTTATTGTTCGTTCCAACTTTCGTAACGTTTCATTTAATTTTTGTTGAGGTCAGGCCATCTCAAGTCAAGGTCAGACAGATTAATTGAAACGAATCTATTTTGAGATCAAAACTGATTAAGCTCAGACGAGGTCAACTAGTGATGGCAAACTAATCAATTAATCAGTACTTAATTAACTCTGATTTTGTGATGCTTAGTTTGTCATGTTATTTATGTTCACTTTTTCTTCAATTCATTCTTCAAAAATCACTACATCTTCCCACTCCTCATTTCAAACATCAGATTTTATTGAAGTCTCTAACCCCAGCTCATAATCCTAGTTCCTGCAACTATGAATCTTATAACAGGTTATGTTATGGACCCTAAATTCTAGGTTTTTTCTTGCATTATTTTTCTGTCAGAGTTTTTAGCTTTTAGTTAGCAGCCTTTAGCTATGATAGACTTGAAACTGGCGGCTTTCAGTGAAACATCTGAAGATTTTCCTTCTTGTTCGACGAAGTTTGGGGCGCTTTTCAGGACAGTGATGGGCAATGATGATCTGCCAGAGGCTGAGCCTTCTCTCCCCGAGACTCCAATTGCAGATCAGCAGGCAGCCTACGATACCAAGATGCAGGAGCGAGCACTGTTGATCCAGCAGAGAAAAGACAATCGAAACACTGTGTGGTCCCACCTGGTTCTGATGCTCAACAACACCACTTTGATGCACATAAGAACGACTGCCTGGTAACAGATGGCTATGGCGATGGGACGAAGGCCTGGACGCTGCTTCAAGGGAAGTTATGCAGTGTAGGCAGACGGTGGTCAGTCTATTAGGCCAGCTTGTGAAGCTGCGCCCAGGGTCAGAGGAGGATCTGGACGACTACTTCGTTCGCAGTCAAGAGCTGATCACGCGGTTGAGCGAAGCTGTAGAAGCAATCACGGACACACTGTTCATTGCTTTGCTTATCAATGGGCTGCCTGACAACTTTGAGCATTTTGTAGTGCAGGAGAGCTTTAATCAGCCATGACGCTTCCAGAGCTGAGAACGAGGCTGAGGAACTACGTTGACTCGAGGAAGGCTCGATATGGAGAGAGGACTGTACATGGTCACTAAGCCATGCAAGCTGCGTGGAAGAAGAAAGGAGTGTCAAGTAGTGGCTGCTATGTGTGCTGTCAGAAGAGTCATATGGCGAGGGAATGCAAATCCAAAAGTGACATTGGACAATTCAGTGCTCGAGGCAGTGGGTCGAACGAAGCAAGGGTTCCATCATCAAAGAAGCAAGGGTGGGCAACCTGGACTTTTTCGCAAGGGAGTGCAAGGAGGGGAGGACATGGTTCTTCATTTGCTGTGCTACAACTTCAATGAAGAGAAACGGCCTCATTGTGGGTATGGGATGCACTGATCATGTGGTGCGAACTTTGAGAGCTGGAACGAAGGGACAAATGTGGAGAAACCAAACGGCACGCTGTCAAGGGTTGAAGGCAAAGGATCAGTGGAAGTGGAGATCAGGGACTGCCATGATGCTGTATAGATCAGGGACTGCCAAGTGGAGATCAGGGACTGCCATGATGCATCACAGTTTGCTGTTTGTGCCGAGGTACAGTGTGAACTTAATCAGTGTAAGCTCAGCTAGGGCTAGAGGCTCAAGCTTCTGTTTCGTTTCAGATGCTTCACATATACTGGCACCAGATGGGGGACAGCTACCTGGGAAGCAGTGCCGCAAGCTTTTCTTCCTTGAGTGCAAGTTCAGGAGGAGCCCGATTGTTCTAGTGACGGAGACAAAAAGGTATACCAGTGTTGCATTGCAATGTTGTGGCACCGACGACTGGGGCAACTCAACCCGCAGAATTTTTCATCGCTTTCCAATTTGGGCGAGCTAGAGTTCTGCTAAGTGTGCACAGCTTCCAAGATGCATGAAGTAGTAGTGCCTAAGGAGATAGCAGAGCAACCGCAGTGGGGCAACGGGTCTTCAGTGACATCCAGTGACCATTTGAAGCACCGCGTATGCATGGTGCACGCTTTGCGTTGAGCTTCATCGACGACTTCAGTCGGCTGGCTGTGGTCAAGTACCCGGTGAAGAAGAGTAATGCTCTACTGAAGGTCCAGGAGTTTGTGGCTGAGCATGGAGCACCATAGTGGCTGTGAACTTACAATAGAGGTGAGTGTTCGTCAAATGCAGTTATGAGATTCTGTAGAGAAACATTGGCGAAGCGAGAGTTCACTGTGCCCAATACTCCCCAACAGAGTGGTGTAGCAGAGCGCTACAATAGCGTGATCACCGAGACGACTCGATGTCTGCTGGCCGAAGCGAAGCTACCGAAGATGTTCTGGAGGCGAGCAATGTCGCCAGCTGTGATGGTTTGCAACTTGTATCCCACATCCAGCGTTGAGAAGCGCTTTTCACCGACGGAGATGCACCTTGGGAGACCACTAAAAGTAAGCTATTTGCTCGTGTTCAATTGTCTCGCGTATTATCTGGAACGAGGCAACAGGCCGAAACTGGATCCATAGGTCGAAAAATGCAAGTTAATTGGGTACGACGAGGAGAGCGAAGCCCACTGGCTGATGGATCTAGAGACAAGAGGAGTGGTGCGAGCATGGAGCGTGACATTCAATGAGAATCTCATCCCAGATGACTTCACGGTTGGCAGTGGGCCATTACAAACCCTGGAGCTATCAATCGAGGGATGCATTGATATTGATCAACCAAGCACAAGGAGAACCAGCGATGCACGAAGCGCGCTAATTGAGGGTGATCACGACGCTGAGCACTATCCCTTTTGATGAAGGGTTCACTGGAAGCAGCAACGACTTCTGTTTGTTCACGATGAGAGAACAAATGATGCAATAATTTTTGTGCTGGTTTGGGCAGATGACATCATCATTTGGTGCAGATGTCAAGACGAAGTTGACAAAATGTATAAAAGAGGCGCATTGCCCTAATTCCTCGAAATTCAGGACAAGCAGTCACCTGGGACGGTAACAGTGAATCAATCAGGTTATATAGACGACTGCTTGGAGCGTTGTTGCAAACCAGTGGGCACACCAGCGAAGATCAGCGCACAAATTTCGAAGAAAATCTTCCCTGATGCTGGGCCAGAAGAGGCAGTTTCCTTGAAAAATGAGAGTTACAGAGGCATTGTGGGCTAATTATTGTACATAACTAAGCAAACAAGGTCTGATATCCTAGCTACTGTGACGCAACTCTCCCGTTTTCTTGAGAATCCGGGAAGGGTGCACTGGGTGGCTGCAAAGAGTGTTCTTTGTTACCTGATGGGGAGAAAAGATCTGGAGCTGTGCTACACTAAGCAGGCTGATGGTGTAAAACTCTATGGATCCGCAGATGCTGACTGAACAGGAGATTTGTATGATAGAAGGTCAAGTACTGGCTGCAGCTTTCATTGGTAAAAGGCAGGGGCAGCAATTAGTTGGAGCACCAAGAAGAAAGCAATTGCAGCCATATATACTAGTGAAGCTGAGTACGAAGTAATCGCAGCAGCGGTTCAAGAGCCTCTATATCTGCGATCACTTCTCGATGAGATGGGCATTGTTTATGACAGACCTGCCGTCATCAATAAGGACAACCATAGCTGCATCAAGATGTGCAAGAATTCTGTGATGCAGAAGCGAGCTAAGCCTATCGATGTGAAATACCAATTTGTTCGAGAACGAGTAGAAGTTGAGACAATTGAACTCCAGTTTTGCCCTACTGAGATCAGGGAAGCTGACTTGTTGACAAAAATCCTGAGCAAGGCTAAGGTGTAACAACATGGTCGAATCTTGATGGTTTGAAGCCTGACATTGAACGAAGTCAAGTCAGCTTGAGTGGGGGTGTTGAGATCATCTCAAAGTGAGACAGATTAATTAAAGCAAATCAGTTTGGAGGTCAAAACTGATTAAACTCAGACAAGGTCAACTAGTGATCTAAAATTAATTAATTAATCAGTAATTGATTAACTGGTATTTCAACGATGCTTAGTTTGTCATGACGTTTGTATTTACTTTTTTCTGAATTCATTTTCCACCAATCACTACCTTTTCTCAACCCTCAATTCTTATCTCAGATTCTATCTCAGTCTCTAACCCCAGCTCTTAATCCTAGTTGCTCTCACTCTGAATCTTAAATTTTTTTATTATTCCGGCTTTCAAAGAAAACGGACTGTTTATGCTTTGGTCTAGTTGTTTGTTCAGTCGATTTTCGTCCATCGAAATAATTGTTTTTAACAAAATTTTTAAGCGTCAATGAAGATATTGATTTTCTTTGTTCAAATTTAAAAAGATATTCTTCCTCCAATTATTTTTTGTAAAATTCTGGAGGTTTAAAATTGCCAATTTTGCCCTGATCTGGACTAAATTATGCGCGGTTTGAAGAATTTATTCATATTACCCAGAGCATAACGCGAATTATTTATGCGTGGCAAATTTTCCCGCACAACAAAATCGTTCCAATTTGAATTGAGGCCAGCTAATTGGGTCGTTCCTATTAATTCATACGACTCAACATTTCTCCCTTTGATATTTCCCACAGTTCATAGGTTTTCAGTATTGTCTTTTCTAAAAAAATTGTTCGACATGAATAAATGGACAGTCGAAACATTCAAGGCTTTGCCCTGATATACGAGCAGTTTTGCTACATTTAAATGTTTTCATGTTATTACTGCTCCATAGACATTTAAAGGTAGTCGGAACATTCACGGCCTCGCCCTGATACGAGCAATGTTGTCTTTTTGGTACTTTTATGGGGACTTGAAGATTGTCAATTAGGCCAATTTGGAACAATTAACGCGCGATTTATTTGGTGCTATGAACGCGTAAGCGGAGATTTAATCAGTGTAAGAAATCGTTTCATATTGAGTTAAGGTATGCTATATCTGTGGGACACTTTGGTACATGCGAAGTATTCCAGTTTTTTTTTAAAACTAGTTTAAGTAGAAAAATTCCAGTTTCTTCTACTAGTTTCGAGGGATGATTTTTTTTTGAAATCCTCATCAATTTTTTAATGCAAACTCTGCTCCGAAGACTTTAAAAGGCGGTCGAAACATTCAGGGCTTCGCTCTGATACGTGTAATCTGGTTTTTCTTATAGATAAATTTTGAATGCTATAATACGCATTTCTAAATAATTTAAAGATCTAATGAATTTGGCGATATGAAATGAAAAAATATATGTTTTTTTTTCGATTCTTTTGTCAATTTATCAACAAAAAAAACTTTTGGCCTTAAAGTGCAATTGGCCTCAAAGTGCAATCGGAGCCTTCAGCTTCGCCCTAATATACGAGCGGTGTTGTCACTATTTCAGACAGTCGAAACCCAAAGTGAGTCAAGGAAATTTCCAAAAGTAATTCAGTCAAAAATGTCTCAGTTTTAGAAAGTAATCGTCAATTAATTAAGAATATGTTCTATCCTATTTTGAATGATGAGTATATCTTTTCCAGAAGTTTCGTTTTTCTGTTGCTTCAAAAAATTTTCCATCCTATTTTGAATGATGAGTAAATGTTTTCCAGAAAGCGTTCTTGGCGTGGGTCAAAGCACGCAGTGACAACCCAGGAAAACCACCCTACTCTTTGGATGCCCTCTATCTTCAACAATTCTTGGCCGGGGTAGAGATTTTCTTGCCAAAAACACTGGTTGGCAAAATGGCCAGTCGATTCATGAACCCTCATTTCCATGCTTCATCTGGGTCAAAATCGAAGAAGGGTGAAATAGATTTCAACGGGCTGCTAAATATTGTATTAAGACTCATTAGCGCCTTAAACGCAACGAAAGAAGTGAAAGGGAAGTCACCGAGTGATACTAGGGAAAAACTGTCTCAAGTTATCGGATACATGCTTTCTGTATGAAACTGCGAATCATGAATATTATAATCAAGAAGCGCGAAACAATTTTGATAACTTCACAGAATGATTTCAATTGAAAATGTAAATTATACACTTTATTCGTACTTGCATTAAATGCAGTTTTTAGTATTCTAAGCTTACCAGTTTGGAGGTAAGCTCAGTATGGTTTTATTAATTAAGTCATCCATATCAATATTTTTTGGTTTTTGACTGTAATTCAATTACAACAAAGGATAGCCGGTTTCTGTGCAAGTAGCACAGATTGTTCCGACCATAGTCTTAAAATACAAAAAATGGTTTTTCTAGAATTTAGGCATATTTAGATAAAATAGGCAAATTGGAACAGTTTTTGTTGAAAAATGAATAGAAAAACGAAAAAAAATTCGAAGGGTTTGATTCCCAAAATATGTTTGAAAGTTTTTGATTCCCAAAATGGCGCAAACAAATGAAGTTTTCATGGCCTAAATTAAGCATAAATAAGCTATTGTAAGCCTGCACGCTACCTTATTAGCTTGAAATTAGGCCAAAAATCAAAAAAGTTGAACTGGTTTTTCTCGTTTCTTGTAATTTTTTGTAAATCGAATCATATGACCCATTCCGATGATTATTTGTAGTACCTGTTTTTGCGTGGAGAACAAAAAGAAAAAACTAAAACACTCCTGAATACAAAGTTCCTCCACAACTTTCAAATTGTCGGAACTGGTCGGTAAAACTTTTTTCGATCAAGTTTGGTACAGTACTGAACACAAGGTTTCGCAAAACTCCGCGGGTCCTATTTTAGCAAACTGGTATTCTTATGCACGCCAAGCATTACATACCCAACTAGTGTCATAGTTGCCTAAAGGACCATTGAAAATTCCACTTTCCTGGCTAAACTTAGAACCCAGGTTTGACAGAGATAACAGCCATGCTTAAGCATGGAGCATAAATAGCGTTTGCTCAATTCCAACACGGTTTGCTCAATCCGATTTAGAATTATTTCGAGAGCGATATAAGTGCTTTCCGTATAGCAGTAAATCAAAGGCATTAGAAAACCCAAAACAAAAGCCAAGCTTTAGTTTTAGAAGCAGTACAAATTGAAAGCAAAGTTACCCATTTAAGCTTGAAATTTCCCGTGCGACGTTGTGTCACGCAGCAATAAATTTCATTCAAATTTCTAGTTAGTTCTCATGTAGTTTCTCAAATTTTTCTTTTCTAGAGTGCTCTTGTAACCAAATTATCATATAAAACAAATTAGTAAAATTAGACACCTCATTCGAACACTTTAGTGGCTATAGTAGAAAAGCTACGATCTTATCAAAAGTTATCGGCTCTGCTTCTCAATACAAGAAAAGATGAGTGACAAGTGTCGTGAGTTCCTGAAGGAGAAGATCAAGACTCTGAGTGGGGAGTGTGAGGAGAAGAAGGGGATGGTGGAGGTGTTGACCAGAGTGGATGGGGAGTTGCGGGGTGAGATTGCAGAGCGGGAGAAGGAGGTGAAGGAGCTGAGGCCTCTCTGTGCCAGGAAGGAGGCTCTGCTGAGGTGAGCAGCAGCTGTGAACTTTTGTTTAAAACCAAACGTCTGAAATCAGATCTCAGGTGTCTAACAGCACTTTCTCAGACTTGGGTTCTTTATTTTTAACTAATTGATTATGTAAAAAAGTTAAAAATCATGACATTTATACTCAGGTTTAACTCATGACCATAAAAACAAAACTTCTCAGGTTTTACATTGTAAAAACGTGTTGTGTACACAATTGTTGGTACGAGATTGACGTAGAATTTTGTAGACATATTTACGCTTGCTATTAGCAAGCGTTATCAAACCGGAATATAGACTTTTTCGGGTAAACAACTTGTTTAACAAAATCAATTGAGTCATTTATATCTTGGCCATAATGAATTCAAACTTCGATGCGTTCCCGGCGAACTTAGCCTGGAAGTAGCGAATATTCTGGGTTCGAATCTGACAGGACCTATTTTTTTTCAAACGGGAAATACTCTGTATCAAATAAAATAGTCGGCCAATCAGGAAGGAGTTGAAGGAGCTGAGGCCACCCTGTGCCAGGATGGAGGCGCTGCTGAGGTGAGCAGCTGTGAATTGTTTGCTCAAAAACAAACTTCTGAAAACAGATCTCAGGCGTCTAACAGTTTTTTTGCTGAGCGCATTTTTTAACTGTTGCTTTTAGTTTTGATTTACTCCTGATATTTGTAATTATACTTACCTTGTCTTCGTATTTTTTTGTTTTTTTTTGTTTCTTTTAAAAAAATCCTCGGACCAAATTATTTTGACTTATTTTTAATCGGTTTAATGACCTAATTTTGATTCCTTTCTGGGGAAACACAATTTTAACGCTACCATATATCCTTTTCAATTTGTATGGTTAAATGGTTGTATGGTTATCTATCGGTTTGTTGATTTTTCTTGCATTATCAAACTTTCACAAAAATTTGTACTGTTTTCTCGGAAACTTGTACTGATTTTCAAAAACGAATTTCAAAAAAATGAAAAAGCGACTTCTCCCCTGTGTGCCTGCATACTCACTTAGAGTCTCTTTTTACTTGACCCCTCTGTCTACAGCCTTCGAAAAAGTCTGTGAGGGAATATTTGACCCACATTTTCATTTTTTGTTCGTTTTCTCAAAAAATGCCCCTCTCAAATCTGAGTTTTTGATTTCGGTAAAAAGAACAATTTTGAAAAGCATAAACGGCAACGCCAAAACGGCTACGCCAAAACTTTTGTACACCTAAAGTAATTGCCCTCGCAATTGTCAAGTTTTTGATTTTTGACCGCTTTTTAAGCTTTTCTTTTCTCGAATTGACCTTTCTCGAAAACTAACTTCTCAAATCTGATAACGTGGTTTCAAAGAAGATAATGGGTAATGAGATACTCTCCTGCATTAGTGGCCGAAAATTTATATTCAAAAAGTTTCTCACAAAAACTTTTACACAATCAAATCTCAGATTAAAAGTTCCATTGAAAGAACCGGTTGCAATAGATGTTCCTGCGGAAGCGCCGACTGCTCAGTTTCTTCTAAGAGAAATGTTTTCTTGAGCAAATTGAATATCACAAATTTTGTTACTTTTTTTTGGTTTATTTTAGTAGAGAAACAACTAAGGTTTTGGGCAAATTCCAGTTTTTGAAATCACGTTTTTGTGCGGCATCAGTATAGCTAATTCATTCATTATCAAACAAGTGCCTCCAGTTGCCTTAGCTGGGCCCCTAGTTGTTTTTTCTCAATACAAACGAAAGTTTTGGTTCAGCTAGTTTTTTTTTCAACGTTCAAAATTTTTTTTGACTTATGATTTTTTATATTTGTGTTGTATCGCAAGTGATGCGAAGCTCCGCTTTGCCTCTGTGTCATGATTTTCACATAATAATGCACGATTTGCTTAATACCATTTTTAGTTGGCTTGCTAATGGCGCCAAATTTTGTAATATAGTTTTTTTTCTGATTTTCGCATTGATGGAAACCTTTTAAATCCAATATTTTAGTATGAAAACAAAAAATAAAGGCTACACGCAATATTGTGGCGCACGAATTTTTATTGTCGTGTAATGTCATCCGATATGTTAAAAAGCTGTGTATTTCACACAGTTTTTCGCATATTATCGGTTAAATTTGCACAATTAATTTTTAGAGTGTAGGTCCTCCAAAAACAACTGATACCCTTGTCAATCAAGGACAGTTGTTTTGCAGGGATCTTGAAACATTCGTTGACAGATGATTCTTAAAAACATTACAAATTACAATTGATCCGTTTTTGACAAGGTCTTAGAAAATATGTCTTTTATCAGGAAATTAGCTGTTTTGTGTAGAAGCAGCCAGATAGCATTCGTTAAAAATGGCCGCAATCCTACCACAAATTGCTAGGTCGTTGACCAGAATGCCTTAGGAAATTTTTGTTTTTGATAGAAGTCTGTTCTTACGTTTTGATAGGCAGAAAAAAAAATTAACATTTCGAAACAATCAAACAGTTAAATAAATCAGCCAAAACATTCTCCGAAAAAAAAACGCATAGACTAAACATAGTGAAAATGAATACTGTGTTGATTATTGCCCGATAAAATCAGGCGTGGATCTAGGATTTTCACGAAGAGCGATGGGCGGATTTTCAAAAAATTTTCAAAAATTTTGTTGATTTTTTAAAGTTGATTGAATTGATTTTCCGAATGCTTTCAATGCACAAAAATTACCCTGCTTTGACCAAATAAAGCCCCCCCCCCCTAAACCCGCTGGTGGATAAAATTTTAGATTTTCTGTCATATCTATTGTGAAAACTACATGAAAAATCTCATGCTAATGGAGATTTTTGAACCAAACTATAAATAAAATCACCTCAATTTACAGTTTAAAAACTAGATATGCTCAAGATTATATACACAAAATATTTCCACGAAAGTTCATGAATAAATTTCAATGAAAGTAAAAATTTAATAAGCACTTAAGCAAAAAACTGTGCTGAGATAATTGAAAGCTTTCTAGCATGGTCAACGAGGGTAAATTCTAAGAACCGAAACACATATTTTTTGTGTGACATTATTCAAACAAACATCCATTTGTTTTCCCGTAGGTAGATGAAATTTTTCCGACAGAAGTTATAAATATAATAATTTGATAAGGTTCTTACAATATAACTAACTTCTTTCAAGAGCCCCGCATGATAAACATCGTCTGGCAACTTTTCGCAAAATAAGCTTCGAATTGAGCAGTTTTTTTTTGAAACAAAACTTGTTCAGATTTTTTTTTAGCGCTGACCAGATCTTTTAGTAATCAGTGAACGCTATTCGACGGCGCTTTTATAACTCTTTTCATGAAGAGTATGTTTTTGCTCTTTCACACATGTTCTTTCACGACAAGGCATGAATGAAAAAATGAAATATTAGAGCGCATGAATGAAAAAAGAAATCATTTGCATAGTTTCCCGCACTTTTCCGGGCTCTTTCACAATTTTCTGGCATCTTTCCCTCAGAAAGAGCAAAAACATACTCTTCAACAGATAGAACATAGTTGAAGAGGGCTCGGGCAAGAGAGCCGCCATCGGGCACTTCGTGCCCTCAGGCCGGGCTTTTTTTCCCTCGGGCATCTTTCAACTATGTTCTAACTACTACGAATAGGCTCGATTATTTCGGCATTTTGACTTTTAACTTTAACTTTTCTTAACTGCTGCTCTTTTCATAAAAACAGTTTTTCATAGTTAATGTCCAACTGTTGGCAATATCTTTTCGGCAATATCTTTTCAATTTTTTATTCAACTTTTTATTCAACTTTGCGGACGGATTTTGACGGATTTCCGTTTTTCACTAATTTCCACATGTAAAAGGTCAAGGTCACCGACATTGCCAATAATTTGGCATGACTAATTACCTGTGGCTCGAAATATCGGAGAGAGGAGGGAAGTATAAGTCTATCCAATGCATTTTTGGAATCCCCAACCACCGCAGTTACTCGGAGGTGGCGCGAGATGATTGTTGATGACGTCATAGTGGTTTATGTTTTCAGTGAAGCGGAGGAGTTTGTGAAGAAGGGCACTAAGAGGGTAGAGGAATTGAAGGAGTTGATAAAGACGAACTCGGCCGAGATTGAGAAGATGAGGGGGATGGAAGAGAGTGCACTGAGGAGTACACTCCACGCACAGGACACTACCGAAAAGCTCAAGGCCACACTCAAACACAAAGGTCACAATTAGAACACACACATAATTTGAAATTATAATGAATAAGAAATGATCGTTGGTGCTTTACCCAGCTTCAAGTTTTTCAAATGTTAATCAAATATCAGTTCGTAGTTTCTAAAAAACTGAAAAAGATGAAAAGTTAAAAAACAACAACAACAGCAACCGGGGTTTTTTCTTACAGATGACCACTGGAAATTATTAGCAGTTTCTTGTTCAACCACTAGAAAATAAAACATTTTGATGAAATAAAAAAAGTACAATAATTTTAAGGAATGAAGAGCATGAAAAAAAGTTGAAATTTGTCTTCCAATTATGTAATTAAGTGGTAGTAATCAGGAGCGGATCTAGGGGGGGGGGCGGATTTTTGAAAAAACAGTCAAAAAATCCGTTTTTGGGCATTTTTTGAAAAATTTTGACAAAAAAAATCGCGTTTTTTTGGCGCGCGCTCCCCCTCAAATTTAGCATATATTGGCGCCAAAGGCGCCTTAAGAAAAATTGTAGAGTCGGTCGGCCAAAAATGGATTTCTGAAAAAGTATCAAAGGAGGACCCTTTGGGTCGGCAGGGGGTCGAATCCCTGAGGGGGGGGGGGGAGAAGGAAGCGTCCGCCCCCGCCCCCCCCCCCCCCTAAATCCGCCCCTGGTAGTAATTAATTTAAACTGTGTTATAGACACGAACGAGTACATCCCAATAGTGCAGAAGAGATCCCGACTGGAGAAGACTCTGAACGAGGTGGAGCTGAAGTCGCAGAGGGCGGAGGAGAGGTGTGTGAGTCTGCAGGAGGATGTGCATGCCATCAGGGGCCAGATCAGCATCCTCAACCACGCAGTCCTCAAGATGGAGGTGGAGAGCAAGAGCAAAGGCACGCATATTGAGTTTATTAAACACGCATGTTTTATATGTTTGATGTCGGAAACATCCTTCTCGGTCAACGAAACTGATTTTGGTTAATTAACCTCAAACTGCTAATTTTGATGTCGGAACCCATTTTTTACCCATTGAAAAGTTTTTAAACAGTAAAAACAGTATTTGAAAACGTAATAACTTGGTAATAATTCAGTTTTTTAGACCAAATAAGATGCTCAAGGTCGCCGATATTGTCAACAATGCAGCATTGACAATAATACAGTTAATGCACATTTTTTGGCAGCATTGCTGACCTTGAACTTTGAACGCCTTAGTTAATTAGACATTAGTACATTTTAGGTTTAATAGATAGTTTGAAAACACTTTTTTTAAATTTTGAAGTGAGTGAAATTTGAATTTCTGACGTCAAATTGAGCAGTTTAAGGTTAATTAATTCGGTTTTGATTCATTGACTTGAAAAAAATATTAACCGCAATTTGGCATCAATTTTACATCATAGTTCTTTGACAATTTCTCTTCGCTCTCAGAGATAAAAAATAGTCAAGGTTTCTAACCGTTTTAAACTTGCAGTCAAATACAATTAATATGCTTTTTATGATGCTGGAACAGCCGGTTACTCAAGTAGGATAACATTTTTGATCCCATTCATCGTGAAACTTTTTTTGTTTTTGAAAGGTATCTGTCCGAAGAATCTAAATTATTGTTCCGACCATTGAAGTCGGGGAGGAACTTCTGTCTTCGGGTGTGTTTAGGTTTTTTTTTTATGTTTTCAAAGCCAAGTCAGGTACCAAAAACTTAAAGGGAATCGCTCGAGAGATACATCATGTCAAAGCTCTTTCAGTCGTAATTGGAACGACATCAAACAGTTATGAAAAAGTTCATTGTTAAAAAAAGTTATTGTTAACTTTTCGACGAGCAATTAAAGCAATTTAGTAACGGTCATTATATGAAAACTGGTCACTTAGGCAAAGAAAATTTGAGTTTAGTAAAATAAAAACTGGAAAACTCATTTGCGCTTTTTTGCTTTAAGAAGTTCTTAAAAAATTGAAACCTTTCAGCAACAAAAAAATGAAAATTAAAAAGATCTCTGAAACGTTTTCATGTTTTTGGGTGTTATTCAGTTTTTGAAGGCAACTGATGTCGATTATTCCTAATTCACTAAAGTTCTACGCGTACTATCTTTTTTAGGATTGAAACTAAGGTAAAAGTTATTGCGTTTGTCCAAAAGTGTTGTTTTTTTGTTTAGACGAGAGAATAGCACAACTTGTGAAAGAGATAGAGAGCAAGAGGACGGAGAGGTATGAGAACGAACAGCAGATTGAGACTCTGAAGGGACGAGTGGCCGAATTGTACCAGGGTATGGAGCAACTGGAACTGGAGAAGGAGAGATTCGATCTCAGCTTCCTCTGATTGGGAGAGAGGGAGAGAGAATGTGTTAGGTAATCTCCGATCAAGGAAATCGACAACAATTATACCAAAAATAGTAACTACAACAGCGAACAACTTTGTACTAGCTAGTAAATGAATTGAAAAATTTCCCTGTAACGAATACTTAAAATATTAAAAATCAACCAAGAAGGGCCAAAGTAAGTGCAGAAGAGAAGAGAAAAAGTTACGTTAACAAATAAAGTTTTAATCAGTGCTTTACTAGCAGTTTTTGATCTAGCGACTCAGCTCGGTGAGGCTGAGACAACTTAAGAAACATTTTTTTTGTTTTCAAAACGAGCACACTCGCTTGAAGTGTAAGTAAAATAGAATCAAACGACTACCGTAATTCAAATAATTAAGCTTTTTCAAAAAAAAAAAATGCATAAAATGGAAACATAATTTTTGTAATTTTTTTTCAATTTTCTCTATTTTTTTCTAAAGCTAGAAGATATTGAAATCTTTAATGAGCCGCAAAAATGAGAATATAAAAAAAACAGCGCTAATATTGCCCAAAAATTGATTTGTTTATCAGTTTTTTAATACACTTGCGAGGGCAAGCGTCTTGGGTAGTATTTAAAAGTAGCTAGGAAATTACGAATCTTTAACACCCCCCCCCCACCCAAAGAAGTCAATGTGGCCTTACAGTACATACTTTCAACCCCCTAAGGGCTTAGAGCTCCTGCATTTTCGGCCAATCATGATTCAAAGGTGGTTAAAGAGTGGTATTTTGCCACTACTCTCAGAATTTGCGAATCTTGAAGTTTCATTTCGCTGCATAATTTCCAAGTACGGATTTTGCCGCGCTATATGGGTGATTACTTCGTAGTCTTCAATTTATGATGTTTGAAAAGTTGAAACTGATATAGTGATCTATGCTCTTATTTACCAAACTAGTGTAAAAAGAACGAGTTCAACAGAGCTACATGTTTTCGCTTAATTTTAAATGAATTGTATAGTTGAACAGAATTTTAAAAAAGCAAAAAGAAATGAAGTAGTTTGAATGTTTAAAAAGCGGAATGTAGGAAAGAAGAAAAAAATGAATGTGTGCACGGCGTTGGAAAGGAAGCAATGATGCGAGAGGATCTTTTCACTGAAGCCTTAGTCCAATTCGCCTTCATTCTTGGGCTCAAGGAGCTCCAGCAGCTGGACACAGCGTTCACCTCATCGTCGAATCATTCCAACTCGCTCCTTGTTGTATACGTTCTACCTATCCCACTACACATACCCATAATCGTTACAGTCTGGATAGCCGAAACCTCTGAAGGAGTTAAATGTCCAGCTGAGAACCGGAACATGACCATCTGTGTCCTTTTCCAACACAGCAGCATTCCTCACAAAACCACAGGATCTTTGTGCTCTACAGGAAAAATCATACTAAAACAGAAGGTTAAATTACAAGTTGACTGAAAATACAGAATTAGCTGAAAGTAATTGTAATCAGTTAGATTTAGCTTTACGAGGTCGTCAGAAATCATGTATCGGAAACTCATGAACGCAAGCAAATTGAAAAAAAACAACTACGCAAATTGAGTTCAACTGGAAATTGACACACTGACGATATTGATAAAGAAATTGTATTGTTCACCATTTTTTCTACCGGTGTCAGATCAAAAAACAAATATGTTCAAAATCGACATGGAAATGTAACCATGAAGTGGAAAGAAGTTGCAAATGAACAAAATTGTCAAATTTGCGTAGAATAATTTTATTTGAAAGAGCCGTTACAAATAACGTTATGGATTTAGCAAAACAGAAATATGGAAAAGCGACTGACCTGACGATTGCTTCTTTTGAAACTGTATTTGATTTCTTGTTCGGCTTCGACACTATGTTGAAAAAGGGGTGGAGCAACCAATTGATTTAGTTTCAACGCACTTTTAAAAAATTCAAAGCTTTTGGTTGTTTTAAAAAATATATATCAGCGAGATGTATACATCAGTAAGGGGTATTTATCTACATGTTTATTTTTATTTCCCGTACTTGAATTTCAGCAGGTCTAAACAGTTTTGGAAAAAAAATGAAGTTGAAAAAATGTAAAATTACATCAAAGGACTTGAAAATCGAGAACGAGATTGATTTGACGGCGAGAAAATTTCTATCAGAAGAATTCTGACAGTCGAAACCACTTTCTAGCTGCATGTTCTCTGTTTTTTTTTTCCATTAAAAGAAAGATAATTTATGTCGGAGCCATCAAACTTAGATAAAATGGAGATCTTAGTGGTATAGACGAGTTTTTTTAGACAAAATTTTAAAAAATTGTGACTGCACGCAGTTATACATGATGCCGCAGGCTTTTTTCACGAAGTTTTTAGCACTGGTCTGACTATCTGCTATATGCTACCCTGGAAGTTAAAAGGTAACCTGATTGTCAATTGAGCGGTAATACTTTCTGCAACTGTTCGTCAAACTACTGAGCCCAGATGTTCAGTCGCGCTAGGTTTGGACGGATTTCGCTTAAAAAATACTTTTAGGGTAGAAGAAATATCATTACAACTTCTAGTTATATCGACTCTCCTTTTTTTCTACTTCCATACTTTTTCAATTAAATTCCAAAATCTGAAAAAAAGTACAACTGATTGCCAACTTAATTGGACCGAGTTCACTGGGAAAGCGGTGATTATTCATATTTGAACCTCAATCAGATTATTCAAAAGTTCTTTCTGCGAAATCCTTACGCCGTATTTTACGCCAAAGGGAAAAAAATGAGTTTTTCTCAAATACCTGGATCAAAAAGTTGAGAACCTTGATGAATTGAGTTACCCGAGATTTGAAAAATTATTTTTCAAAAACTAATCAAAAAAACTTACATTAACTACAGGAATCACTGCGCCCTGAAGAAAATCAAAATCTATTAACATTGGCTGAAAAATGAGCAAAAAACAGAGACTAGCCAACTTGGACTCGTACCTATCTCCAAACTAAGGGCTCTGTCCTTGGATGGCTCCAGAGAAGGACATCAAAATAGCGTACAACTAATCGACACTGAGTGAAGACTCCCTCCTAGTCTTTCGTGTTTTTTTTTGAATCACTCTTTAGCATTCATTACGTGCAGGTCGGTTCCTTCAGTAGTTTTCTTCAGTTTCAGACTGTCAACCGAAAACACAATTTTGAAATTTTGAAACTTATATGAATCAATGTGCTGATCTAGATCTTCAAAAACTGTTGTGTAATAATTGCACATTGATTCACGTTTTTTGAGGATAGCTATTGTGAAGTAGACGCTTGACTTAGCAGTTTGTTTTCAAATTTTTCTGTTTCAAGACCATCAAGAAGTTCGATTTAAAAAAAATAACTTCATAGAATGAAAACATGTTTCTTCTTAAAAAATGTGTTCCATTTTTTTTAAAGCTAGAAATTAATGAAATACTTAATGAGCAGCAAAAATGTGAACATAAAAAAAGAACGCTAAGTTTGTATAATAAACCTGCGCCCATCCTAGTATTATTCCCGAATAGTGACAGTGGTTCAAACCTTTTTTCTTCGACTTCAGTAAAAAATCTCTTGGCAGATCTAAAAGATCGAGGTTTTATTTTTTTGCATAGTTGGCTACAGTCTCCCAAAGAAATGGCTCTCTCCGTTTTTAGATGTGAACATCTCGAGGTAACAAATGAAACTCTCTTATGGAATTTTTCAGTTAATTTTGAGAGCTATTAAAACTGAAGAAAAAATTTTCTCGTAATCCAGGTTCAATAGCCACCAAGGAGTTTTCTGAGGTTCGAGTTTCCTTTGAACCCGAGGGTGGGAAATTTGTGGTTTTTTTCATAATTGATGTAATGGGGTTCAAAAACGACACGAAGTCAAATCAAACAACAATAGGCGCATGCCACAGAATTGAACGTTTTTGAAATTTTAATTGTCGCTACGATTTTCTGCTGCTGGCAATATCACGAGAGCTGGCTCATGAGTTTAACCAATTCATTCGAGAGATTGACGAACAAATTGCCAGTGCGATTGATAGTCATTTTTTTTGTTTTGAACTTGAAAGTAGTTGCAGGAAGTTCCGGAAGTTTTGCTTTTTTATTTCAAACACAAATTCTATTAGATCCTTCATCAAAACAACCTGTGTCAGCAGAAAGAGATCTTCAGATGCTTGGTGTGCTGCGGGCTTTGTTTTAGTGTTAGCATCAGTCTCCTCATGGCTCTGAGAAACAAAAATTGACTTGAAACTTCGTTGGTTTTAATCAAATCAATTAAAAAAATGAGATCAGTCTCTTCAAGTTTAGGCTCAGCTAACCTCAAATAAAACGATCAGGCTTGTATCATAGATAATAGGCGGCAATGTAACCTAACAAAAAGCAATTATGACCGTTTTCAAAACGAAAACTAATTTATTGTTTTGAATTTTCTTTTACCAACAAAAAGCGCAAATGAGGAGCCTCCGGTTGGAAAAACGCTTCTGAATTTTTTTAATATAAACTTCATTTAAACGCTGAAGAACCCAACCGCTACAATTACATGAAAAACTGAACATGGTTTCTAATTTTCTAATCACTTATTTCATCAAGCGCACCGTTTGAGTACAGTGATGTTACCTATGTGTAAATGGTTCACCCATTTTTGAGACGCACTCAATGTTTTCTTTTTCATCGACTTTTTGTCGGCCGTGAGGCATGTGAGGATAGAATCTTTTTCGCTGTATGAATTTTCTACAAGTTTGAATAACGTATTAGAAGTTTTTTTCCGGAAATGAGATATTGTTTTCAGGTAAATCTTCAGCTAGATTTTGTAGTGATGAGTTTAGAAACTTGGAAGAACCGATGAAGCGAAGATATTCAAAAATGTTTTGCGTGGTTGTTTCGCGCTCAATTAAATTTGTCGTGCGTTCCTTTTAGATTTTATCCCGAAATGTGACTGTGGTTCAGACATTTTCCCCCCAATTTCACTAAAAATTTCCTGGCAGATCCAAAAGATCAAGGTTTCTTAATTGCATAGTTGGCTACAGTCTCCCAAAAAACGGCTCTGCCCAATTTTAGATGTGAATATCTCGAGGTGACAGATGAAACACTCTTATAACATTTTTTACTAAATTTTCAGAGCTGTTAAAACTGAAGAAAAAGTTTTCTCGTAGTCCAGGTTCAATAGCCACCAAGGAGTATTCTGAGGTTCAAGTTTTCTTT